CCATGTTTTTAAAAACCATTTCAACTTCGATCAATTCTATTTATTGGGGCTGTTACTTGTTTTATTACTTCAGGGTACTTAAACACTAAAGATTAATTTATTAAAAATTAGCAGAAGGTAATTACGCCTATCTATCACATTTTATTACTCTTTTCGTATTCTCAATTTCTAGTAATTTAAGAGAAACAATAATATGTTCGTTGTCTTTGTAATACAGATACGAGAATACCAGATTAGCTACACTATAGTCTATACATAACCTTTTTTTACTGCACTGTTTTTTTAAAAGTTAAAGTATAATTTGAAAAAAACCAACTTATCATAGAGTTATAGAATAAAGAATAAAAAAATTAGTTATTGATATATGAACATTTTAGCATCGATGCAGGGCTGAGAAAGTATTGTTTTTACATTGATGTTTTTAATTAGTTTCCATATTTTAAATTTAATTTTTGTCTGGACTCACGGCATGACCTTAACCACTTCCTTTAATTAGAGTAAGATGAAATAATTGTCATTAACCTAACTTAACCTAACCCTAAACGTATCTAACTTATGACTAAAATATAAACATTTTTAAGATCAATAAACCCTTTTACAACATTTATTTAAAATTTGTTTAAAAAAATCATTCACCGAAAAGTTAGTTGAATATTGTGTGCATATTATGTTACTAATTATTGTATGTAGAAACTTAAATTTTGGCATATGGACTAAGCCGTTTGTTTTTTAAAATGTATAATGACCGGCTTAGGTCATAACTACCAAATATTTTAATAAGCAATAAGTGATATGTATAATGCAATTTATGAATATGACAATTTGCCCGTGTTTTTAAAAACCATTTCAACTTCAACTATCCATGGAAACGAGTCAATATTATCTACTGTAGTCAATACATATTTTGGTAAAAGTAATCTGATTTTTTTTAACAATGTTATGTGTACATATTATATTTTAGTTATAGCACCAAATTATATGTAACGAAAAAAATACGATGGTAAATAAAACTAATAATTAAATAAATTAATGGACACGATATTTTCAGGTGTGGGACATAATAAATAATACAAGCCTGAATAACATTATGGTTATACGTATAGCGGTAATATTATTTGTAGTAGTTCTTTATTTTAAAATTGTAAACTGGAGAAATACATCATTGGCAAAACAAATACCCGGTCCAAATGGATTCTTTTTTATGGGTATGTTACATATTTTACTTGGAGGACCTGAGAAACTATTGATGAATATATTCAACCTTTCCAGAAAGTAATTATGTTGTATTCACGTCTATCTATTATATTTAATACTCTTTTCATATTCTCAATTTCTAGTAACTTAAGAGTAACAATAATTTGTTTGTTGTAATTGTAATATAGATACGAGAATACCTTATTCAAAGGATGGTTTTTTAATCACTTAATCGTATTTCCTAATAAACCTGAAGATGTAGAAGCGGTTCTAACTAATACTAATCTGTTCCAAAAAAGTAAACTTTATAATGTGTTAACCGAATCAATTATGGGCGATGGAATATTTACAAACAGGATGTTCCATGAATGGAAAATGAACAGGTGAACTTTTTTAGTTTAGATTATATTTATTTTTTATTACAATTATAAAAAAAACAAAACAACAAAAAAACCATAAAGTGTCAATATGTATATCCAATTGAAAAATATAATGGAAAATATTAAAAAATAAAGTTGCATACTTTCAAACTTCATTTAAATTTGATATCATACTTATAGAAAATTGGTATCTTCGGGGTTTAAGTTTTCGATGCTTAAATCGTTCGTACCAATATTTCACGAGGAAGCAAAATTCTTAAGCCAGGTGTTGTACGAGAAACGGGAAAATAATACAGATGAATGTGAAATAAGCTGGGCAATCAGTATGGCGACATTGGAGATGATCGGAAGAACCGCTTTGGATGTAAAATTTAATGCACAGAAAAACACCAAGCACGTATTTGTGGAAAATTTGCATGTCATACTAAAGGTATACGTTCAATATTTAATGATTTCTGGAACGAAACTATATTACAAGGCACATTTTATAACTAATAAGTACTTTACCGATGATGTTTTTGAGTTGGCATGTCAGTCTTTTTTAATGAAGATTTGTTTTAGGTTTGGGAGTACCGAATGTTACACCCCTGGTTTCTGAACAAGAGTATCTTTCAGTTATCGTCCCTTAAACGCAAACATGACATTAGCCAACTTAAAATTTACAATTTCATCGACGATTTAGTTCAGAGAAAAATTACGGGATTGAAGAATAATATAAACAATCTAGAAGAACATAACGAAGAGAGTATTGGCCTTAAATCTAAATCGTTTATAGAGATAATGCTCGAGAATGGACATCAGATGACATTTAACCAATTACGGGACGAAATAATAACTGTTATGATTGGTAAGTGTTTTTTTTATTATTGTTATTAAGAAGAATTGGCGATATGTGTATTATATTAATTAACATGTTTTTGAGAGATGTTTTTTATAAATTTTATTTTTATATGTGGTATTAGGAGGTCAAGACACAACAGGTATGACGAACGCATGTATAATATTTATGTTGGCTCATCATCAGGATGTACAAAATAAAGTAACTCGTATTTTGTATTCATATATAAATTTAAAAATTACACATTTTGGATATTCTTGGTAACGAAAAAATTGTATATTTTTTTCTTGCTTATTAATAGGTGTTGGAAGAGTTATTGACAATATATTCTTCTGGCAATCCGGATCGACAACCTACCTATGATGATTTACAAAAGATGGAATACTTGGAACGTGTAATCAAAGAAACTATGCGACATTTTCCACCTCTTCCATTACTTGGCAGAAACGTAGAAAAGGAAACAAAGATTGGAGGCTATTTAATCCCTGCAGGTACGGCCTTAGACAAATTTTGTTGATAAATAGCCACATTTGGTGCTTACAATGACTAAGTTAAGTAATTTTTATAAACATATACAGGGTCAATATTAGAAATTTTCCCTGCTCTGTTACACTTTAATGCGCAAATCTATCCCGAACCAGAGAAATTCAACCCGGACAATTTCTTGCCCGAAGCATGTCGCAGTCGCCATCCGTATTCGTTTCTTCCTTTTAGTGCTGGTTACAGGAATTGCCCCGGTATCAAATATGCAATGCTCCAAATGAAAACAGTCATCTCAACTCTGGTCCGGTCTTATCGGTTTTATCCGTCGGATAAGTGTCCTAAACCAGAAAATCTTCGTATAATGTATTCAACAACACTAAAGTTTGTCGACGGGTGTTACGTTAAAATAGAAGCAAGACCGTAATTAATTATGGAAGCAGTTTTTAGAACCAAAATTATTTACATATTTATATTGGATTATTCGGATATTTTTTAATCATACTAGTTAGGGTTTCGTTATTTTTTAGATTTTAGGTATTTCGGTTATGGTCATTATTTTGGCTTACCAATTTGTCGTGTTGTCTCGTTTTTTTAAATATTTTCTGTAAACTATTTAAGTTATCTAAATACATTTTTCTCTCATTGTTTAGACATCATTAATGTGTAAGTGTATTATATACAAGTTAATGTATGATGTAAAATAACATTTTTATTATGACCTCTCTAATCGTACTTTATTTAGATTATATATATTTTTATATCTCTTATTTTTAAAAATTCTTTTAAACAAATTTGTTGTATTTTATGAACGTCACATTATTGTTCATGCTCTACGCTTAATACTGTTTAACAAAATATAGTGTAATGGTGATCCAACATTGTTTTGGTTTTCTCTAAACTATTCTTACACATCAACAGAAACATGTTGGTTCGTTTTTCATCAATTATCTTTTCACAGTTTAACAAATAATATTTTTGTTTTGTTTGTAATTATAAAATCATAAAAACGTTACAAGAATAAATGTTTCTGAAAAAAAACTGTATCTGAAAATTAAAAATAATATATTTTACCGTTTGGGTTCGGAAGGTGAGGCGGTTTTCGCATCCACTCCTTGAGAAATCCACTCCTTGCTAAATTTATTTTTCAACATACACAGAGACCATTGTTCACCGGAAGTACTCTGATGTTAATTCTACAAAAAAATGATGCACAAGGTTTTGTGATTTTTTTTCCAAGTGACTAAATTTAGATTCTTTTATCATAAACAATATTATCATAATATCATTGTTCATATTTTCGCAAGTGTGGTCTTTATCTTATTAGATAAATTATTCAAAAGTAAAATAAAATATATTATGACCGCCGTAAGTCATAGTTACCAAATATCAAAAAAAAAAAATAATTTATGAACACAATATTTTTAGGTGTCGTGGATAATAAAAGATTTAAGCGAAAATAATATTTTCGCGTCATCTCACTAAAGTTCCATGTTTTTCAAATCTTCCAAAATTAATTTCACCCGTTCCCCGATACCATAGAAGGCTGAAATTTAACCCAGACACTCATTATGAATGAAAACAACACTATGTTCCTTCAGAGTATTGGGACCCAGACATCCAGGTCACAAATGCCGGGGGATTAAATATGACAAATTTATCAAATAATGTTTTATATTGTAAGTTCTTTTGTAATTTAAATTTGGTTCAATATTTGTGTGTGAAACAAACATTTCATAATACTTAACTCAATGAATCTGGATGGAACAATGAGTTTTGTTAGTTAATGATAAATTTATTTTTCAACATACACAGAGACCATTGTTTACCGGAAGTACTCAAATTCCTTTAATCCTAAAGTTCACACCTAAAGTAAAAGATTCAATAACTTGTTCCTGTATTTAAAACTCCTTCAAAAAAACCATAACACACTTGTAACAATATTCAACAATGTAAGAATGTTACAATTCACAAACTATACTTTAATATGTTACCCACACCATTTGTCATACAACGCAACTAAATAAATGAACCGAACACAATATAATTGTTTACACTACATAGTATTAGAAAAAATAGTATTGTATAATATTAGAAAAATAAATGTATTTCAACCATGAAATTTGAATTTTAATACCCAATAACACAAACATATTTATAATAATTGCTAAGATACCATCATGTATGATTCACCATACAGAAAAACATAATAATTTTCGACCAGAAAATGAAGTACTCTTATATGCTACATACACTATTTGGTATACATATTTCAAAAAAGTAACATAGTTTTTCACATTTATATTACAACACAACTAAACAAATTAGCTGTAAACTACATAATCTTGTACACCACATAATACTAAGAGAAACAAAATACTTTTCAACCAGAAAATTTAAATTTAAATACTTAATATTATCAAAAATATTTTTGCCAAGATAACATCATATTGTATGATGTACTTTAATGCAATGTTATAATTGCATGATGTTTCTCTAATCGACTCCTAATTTCCTAAATGAACCTTCCATGGCGTTTTCAAAATTAACCAAGTTATTTTTGGAATTTTTTGGGCGTTTACTATCATCTGCAACAATAGTCGATTGTGTCATTAGCCATTCTCGATGCTTGACCAATTCATCATACCAGTCATCTGCAATTAAAATATTTACATTATTTTACAAATCAGATTAGCAAAATTAGATGACATTCGTATATTATCAAAAAAAAAAAAATCCCATAACATTAATTTTTTTATAATTCATGTGCAACTATAAAATTATTTATAATCTACTAAAAGAGAACTAGAGTAATGAGAAGCGAAATATCTTAACATTGGTTTTGACACGGATATGTCTTTTGGCTGGGGATCAATGAGAAAATCTTTGCGTGCATTACGCTGAACGTTATCGAGTAAAATGTGTGCGTGTGGAGCGATCTAGGATCTACGGTTGTTTGAGATTTATAATTTTCGTAATAATTACTACTAACCTATTATTTCGTTAGACGTCTTGGGATAAGTTCCTCCGTAATTGAGGGGAAGAATACTGGGATCGATGCTGTTTTTCAAGTCGTCGACGGATTTGTGAATAATTAACTATAATATACAAACTTCATTTAAAAACTTCCAAACACACTTTAAAACATACATGATTTACCCTGTGAGAAAATTTGTTTTTCGTAACACTCATTATTATGTTAACTAGTGGCTGTATGTAACTTTTCATATTAACTATGTGAACTTCGTGTATACGCGTTGGATATGCCGCCTAAATATAAAAAAATGTACAATTTTTAAATCAAAATACATGTTAAATGATATTAGTATTATATTGCTAAGAACAACGCTATTGGGAAGTAGGTCATTTGATATTTTTCCTAAACTGTATATTAAATTTAATTATAAAATATTGTTTCAAACTATACAATGTATCTAAATTTCGTTATTATAATTATTGTTTTATAAATGGAGTAAAAAATAACGTCTATATAAAATGTAGGCTGTTGTTTAGCTGTGAAGGACGAATAACAGTTTTTTGAAAATCCTAAACGTGCAGCCCTCAAGCCCTGTATATTCCACAAATTTTATAATAAGTGTTTTTACTCTAAAACTACCAAAAAAATGTAAAAAATTATCTGCACGCCAACATTTTACATAAAAGTACACAGATGTAACATTATCCGTTTTTGATGGGATAATATTTTAAAAATTACCATATCGATTGCTTAGTTACTGATTATAATAATACCTATGGTTGGGCCGTTAAACAACAAGTAATTATTTTCAATAATTATAATATAAAGTCGTTTGTCAGATATTATTAAAAAATTAATAAAAACTACTTACCGATGAAGTACCAAGAAACTTCTTAATATTCGATAACATTTCAGTTACGAGATTCATTGAAAAATAGTTCAAATCAAATATGTATACAATCTTTTTAAAAGTGTCTAACTTTGCCATTCTGAGATCCATTGACATCAAACTTAATTTAGCCAAATCATTAAATACAAATGTATCGTCTTCTTTAGTCCTTGCACAATATAGACCTACTCTGTGGCCCTCGTGTGTAGGGTTTGGTAATGGAGCGATAGAACTGAAAACAAATTGATAATTAAATAATAGTAAATCATTCATATTATTTAGGAACATTTTGTCAATAATGTGGTGTTATGGAGGTGAAATAATAGAGATAGTTGATTAGTAATAATAGATTAGGGATAAGATATTAAAGGTACTAGACTGCAGGACATATCTATGAATTGGTGTACATGCATGAATTAGGGATGTTTATATGGCGGTTAGTATGGTCACGGCAGCTAAACAGTCATGACTGTCATTGCCCTGAAGATGGACTCTGCAAAAAAAAAATATAAAAATAAAAAAAGATTTTTAAATTCATCTTAACATTCTCATGTCCGCTACACTCATTCTGTACTCAGTTTTCACAAAGAGGATGAGACATACAGTAATTTGTTTAACTAAAAGTAATAAAATCACTTTCACATAAACGTCACGGTTTAAACTAGTATTGTCCAAACCAAGTACGAAGAACAGTATTAACCATACAGCATGAACAGTAATGTGACGTTTATAAAATACAACAAATTTGTTCAAACAAATGTTTAAAAACAAAAATATGCATAATCTAAATAAAGTACGATTAGAGAGGCCATAATATAAATTATATTGAACATCTTACGTTATTTAAACTGCCAATCATGCGATTTAGAGGTGCGTTTTTAGCAAAATTAGAGTTAGTAATTGGTACGTATACTCAGCTGTTGCAATAGGCGAGGGAAATCAACTCGACCATCTATCAAACACAAAATTAAACAAGATCTGGAGTTCTTGCACTGTTTTTCTAATAGTTGTAGTCCAAGAACATTGTAAATAAGACTTTGGTCATGAGATAGGTGTTAGTGTTTTAGGCAGAATTTAAAAATGAGGCAACTAGAACACAATGGGTATAACCAATGACAATCATGCGAATTTGAGGTGCATTTTATAAAATCTGTAAGCCCCTTGATACAAATTACTAATAAAATATAAATAAATAATTCATACCATTTAAGAACCTTGTTATAAAAAAAAGCATTTTTATCAAAATATGATATGTAAAGATATAAAAGTGATTTAAAAGATAGTAATTTCGGACGGCACGATTATGAAAAATGGCTCTTTGTTAATTAAAATGACTAGCAGTGCGTGTAATGGGTGTAAATAAATATGGATACTAACTATAGTTTCATTGCATTAATTATCTCTGGTGAAGTCGGATCCCAGTCGGAATAGTATTCTGGTATTGAATTTTTGATAGTGTAATGCTGGTCCAACATTGTTTTGGTTTTCTCCAAACTATTCTTACACATCAACAGAAACATTTTGATTCGCTTTTCATCAATTATCTTTTCACAGTCTAACAAACAAAATTGTTGTAACAATAAATTCGTAATAGTGTTACAAGATTAAACGTTTCTAAAAAAACAAAACTGTATCAAAAAATATAAAAAAATATAATTTACCGTCTGGGTTCGGAAGGTGAGGCTGTTTTCGCATCCACTCCTTCAGAAATTTCACGTCAAGATCCACTTTTGTCTCAGTTGTACCCAACTCGCTATACATTTGACTGATTGCACTAGGTGTTGGGGATATTAAAGTTTTAGATTCCATTGCTAGTGATGTGATGTTTTACACGCCACCCTAAAGTTTAATAAATTGTTAGCTTGCAACAAGAATTAAAACAAAGTTTTAATTGCACAACAACACTATAGACTATGAAGGATATAAGACTACACTAATTTCTTCTAGAAAATTCAGTTTATTATATGTTATTTCTACAAAATAATTATGCACGATTTTTTTTTTCCAAGTGTTAGTTTCTTATTAGGTTCGTTAGAAGTTTTCTCATACTACCATTGTTCATATTTTCGCATGTGTGTTTGATTGTATTCATGATAACTACTATGTAGACTACTTTTGATGTACTATATATCAGCGAATTTAATATTTAAATTCTAACACTGGTATAAAAAAAATCCCATAATTCGATTTTTATAACCTAATAAAAAAGAACTCGAATAATGAGAACTAAAAATAATAACTTTTTTTTTTTATTAAGAAATAAGATACATAAATATTTATGGAAAATTTTTATATTTATTATTTTACATTATTTTAAGTGTATAACCTTGTAACTGAAGAGGTTGTTAAGTTTGGATATTTTATCTATAGAAAATCAAATTGCTGGAAATATGGATTTTGAGGATTTTATTGACGAATTTTCGGCAATCAAATAGTGAAAAGTACAATATTGTGATTCTAAAAATCTAACTACGTTTTTTGCACGATGCTCTTAAATTTAATACTATTCAATTTTTTTAGGGGGGGGGGGGTGCATATATTGAAATTTGCCTCGGGCGCCAGAAGAGCCTGTTTTGATAGAATGTCTAATATTATGTCACCGGTTTTTTTTTTTTTATGATAAAATATATTATCATGTTATTATTGTTGATATTTTCGCATTTAAGATAATTATTTACTATGCTTTGAAGTGTGTGCTTAATTTTAAATGGGAACCCATGTTTTTAGTTCCATAAATATGTAGGCAAACAAATGAAAAAAACCGTTAGGGTTTGAGTTTTTAGTTTATTGTCAACCTCTTCATTTGCTACGGCATTGTAAAGATTTGAATTCAATATCAATATTTGTCATATCCATACGGCGACGGCCATCTGTCGGCGCGTTTTGCCGGTCGGCTGTTGTCGTCTTCGGTCGGCAGATGTCGTCTCGGGTCGACGGCGGCACGCGGCTTTTTTTATTTTTTTTTTTTTATTACCTAGGTACTCTCGCTCAACAGCGGTGACGGCTTCGGCGCACAGCTTCCCTCGGGATAGGATCGGATCCCGACGCGCCTGCCGTCCTCCCTCGGTCGCCCGCGCCTTCCGCGGCCCAACGTCGCCGCCGCCGCCGCCGTCGTCAGTGCATCGCCGTGTTCGCGTGTGCCGTTTCGTCCGTCGTGTGTAAACGATATCGCCTTTTTATTTATTTTTTTTTCCGCTTCCCCTGCGGCCGCCTCCACTCGTCGTTCCCGGGCGGAAAAAAAAACACGTACAGGATTTTCACGAGCGAATCCCGCGGGAACACGAGGCGCGCGTGCGACATGACTTCGCCCGGATCCCAACGGCGGTCCGGGCCGGGCAAACGGGTCGATTCGTTCGGACCTAACTACTGAACGGTCCCCCACATACACACACCACACATCTCCGGAGCCAAACCCGATTTATTCCAAAGGCAACACCTCCTGGGGACACCATGACCATAGCCGATTCGGGAGCGGGCGCCGTGTCGGGCGCCGACTTTGACGATCAGGTAAGATCAGACATGATCTGTTTGCACCGGGGATTCCCGTTCGGGTCCGACGGGGTTAAGTCGGCGAATCGGCTCGTTTGTGTGCAATCCGGTCCTGCGGGGCTTACGATAGTTTAGTCAGCCACTAAACGGTGATCGAGAACCGAATTCCCGGATTGAATCCACCCCAAATATATCCTCGAGATCTTATTAAAATAGTTGTATACACCTCCTATAGTCCGAATCCTCTGAAAAGTTTCCCGTGTAAACAGGCGGGTTTCGTGCGTTGAAAGATTCGTGCTTCGACAGGGAAAGTCGGGATAATACTCACTGCGAAAGGGTCTTCGTCGGTGGTATTAACCTCCGGAGGAACTCTGGCCTTCTTGGTCACGGTGAAGACTTAACGTCAGAATACTGATGTCTGATAGTGAATTATTTATTTTTTCCCCAAAGTACGGTAAGGTTTTTTTCAAAAATACACCAACCATCAAAAGAACAGAAAAGGTGGATCCACGTGTTCATTATCCCCCGAAACACCAGTCGGTTTTAGACGAATTTCAAAGAACAATTTTACACATTCACTCCAAAGACAATTGACACAAAGAGTCAACCGAACCCGCAATTGATTGTGCGACGACCATTAAGCTAACCGAAGCACTTTTATCAGTCAATTCATTTGTCCAAGCTGGTTTACTGTCCCCACGAGATTCAAGTTGAATATTTAAAAAATAAAAACAGTAAAAAGCTCTACTAGTCAATACAATTGTGAAACAAAATCCAAATTATAAGCGTTTTGTTTTTTTTTAGCTAATCCAAACTGGTTTTGATTTTTTTCTCTATCGTCTCATCTTGAGGATTCAAATCATTTAAAACCACTTGAAAATAAAATTGGTGGTGTATAAAAACTATACTAGTCCTGCTGAGAAATCCAAAAAAAGAAACAGATTTCTGGGCCAAAATTCCGAGTACCTTTTTTTCGAAAGCCCTGATGATTGATGAGGGGTCTCGTATTAACTATACCCGCACATACATCCAATAACAGTAAACAAAATTTCTCTCAAGTTGAATATTGTCTGGTTGTTTTAAAATCTAAATTGGAAGAAAACCCGTTTTATTAAATTTTCAGAGTACTGTACGTTCGAATATTTTTATTTAGTTCTAAAATCTAAAAAGTGTTTCATTATAATATAGTTGACTCGGGACTAATGCAGAATATTCAGGGGTATTTTTTAATAGCCGAAAAAAAATGAAAAAAAAATGATTTTAAAAGTTGTCAACGACCGAATCGAATAAAATAAACCAAAAAAAAATCCATGTCAAGTACATTATTATTTTACAATTAATGCATTAACTATTAACATAATGAATAATAAAATACAAGGTAATAATTTATAAACAAGTAAATTGTAGAATAAGTTTAAATGAAGTAAGTATAATAAAAGAACCTAAACTTAACGACCAAGTTACATGATATAATATACACAATAAAAAAAAACATTAAATGGCTGCAAAATGTGTTTCGGTTATTTTTTTCAAAATATTAATGCACGGTGTTGTTGTTAGTATTAACCTTAATTATTATTCGATACAACCGACTTGGACGCCGCAGTCCAATCGTTAACCAGCAGCTCGGCGGTGTTTACAAGCGCTATTTCTAACCATGTATTTATGTACATATTTCGTATATTGTACTCACACGTATAATGTATATACATGTGTATACGTGTGTGTATACCTATATTTATATTATGTGCTTACGTTTTGTACGGCTAACAGATGCGGTTTGCCCGAGACCAGATCCCCAGTGTTGTAAACGTCCAAGACAACAAACAAGACATAAATACTAAAATTCGATCCAGACAGACGGTTGCCAATAACTTAACCTGACCTAACCCATTCGCTCCTGGCGTGATTTTGTTTTCAAATAGTCATGAATGAATTTTTCTATAAAGTTTCAGAATATACATAATATATACAGGGGGATTTTTTTTATCATTATGTCATAGGGTTTAATAAAAAATTTAAATGTTTCTTTTCATATAGTTTTTATACAATGTGATCTCAATTTTGAACGATAACGTGGGTATATGTTTTATTAACTTTTTAAATTGACAATAATATAATAAAAATGTTGACTGGTCGATAACCAGTTTCGGATAACTACTTTTGAAGTTATTGAAGTTTCAAGGTTAGGGCAGGAGGAAAAGTGTGGCGTGCAGTATCAGATTTATATCTGCGCGCATTTCCCAGCTCATGCTAACTTTTCGACTCTTACTAACTTTCAAAATAGTTGTCCAAAACTGGTTATCGACCATTTTTAGTACATTATTCTCAATTTAAAAAGTTAATGAAATTGTATATGCGTTACCATTTGGGTTTTAAAAGTTGCTATCGAAAAAACTAAGTGCGGTAAAAGAGGTAAAATCGAAAAAAATTTGGGAAAACTGAGATCACATTGTATGAAAATGTGTGTAGCAAGTCAGGTTTTTTATTTTAGGTAGGTAATTTTATGCCTAGGTAATAATAATAAGGGCTTTATTGTTGAGTGGTCGCTTTTTCTCCATGTAAGCCCAACGATAGTTACAATAATTAGATAGTATGGAATGAAATTCAGCAGTTATTATTGAATTTAATTTTGCACATGCAAAGAAAATAATAATGGAAAAATATTGTTTTACTCTATTCACGTAGAGCGTTTGGAAACATGTAAAAAAGAGAAATAAAAAAATCAGTTTTTCATTAGGTTCAATGTGTACACAAATTCAGGACTTAAGACCCTGAACAATACTTTATAGGTGAATACCTGAAGTCTTATTTTAATGTAATGACTATTCTAAAAAAATAATAACATATTATATGTGATTTTTTTTTCAAACATGAATTTAACCGTTTTTAAACTCGCCCTATAGAAACGTTTTTCGGAGGGGCCATGCAAATCGCATTTTTTTTTTGTGTTATATTATATGATTGATCATCGAAAACGGGGTCGGATCGAATTTCCAAGGTTTTCCTGGTTTGAAAATATAACGTAATAATTGCGATGCTCTCGTTTTTGTTTTAGTAAAAAAGTTACACCCTTCCTTCTGCTGCCTTTGGATGAAATCTGATTCCGTCGCTGTTTTTTATTTAAAAAAAAAAAACAAAATTTCCCTCCCTTTGTATTTTGATGAAATATTATGGTTTTTATGAAACATAGCACGCGCGGTTATGAATGTCTACAATTTGTATTTTTTTTTTTTTATTATTATTATTTCTGACAGCGGTGAAATATTTCACCGTGAATAACTAAAATCGGCCGCGTTGATTAGTTTTCAGACTTCTGTCGACATTAATTACAACTTTTTAATTACTTAAAGTCTTAAGAAAAAACTCGCCTACGACGCGCCTTGTTAAATGATATTGTCTTGATTTTTTTTCCCCTCGAGAGAATTGTTTATTTTTCACTTTGAGAGCAATTACACTTAAAGTTGTTTTTACATTTCTATGTCGACCCCGTTGGACGATAATCATTATTTCCGAAATGGCCAAAACGCACAAATCTCTAATGCATTTGTTGACCAAAACTCGGGCGTGGGTAATCAATTCACACTTTGTTCTACTTTTTTTTGGAATTACCTTTTCCTTTGTCGTCGTTGTTGTCTCTGTTCACTTTGATAATTTATTCATGACCGCGCCTTATCTCTTTTTTCCAGCCCGACTTTGTGTACTTTGGTGTTTTTTTTTTTTTGTTTAATCCAAATTCTTTTTAATATTGCCCTCGTTGTGCTCGTATTGCCGACCGAGGCGTTGCTGAGTTGTACGTTTTCTTTCGATTAAAATAGCGTTTCTATTATTTTGCAAACGCGAACAATCGTTTTGTATAATATTTTCGTTTAATACCCTCTTTTGTCGACCGTTTTTTTACTGTCCTCTCGCGTTTTACACGGAATTCCTTTTTTGTACACTTTCATTGTTTTATCATTTCCATTTACTTTAACGCAGCGTGCTTTGCCGCACTGAATTATAACTCTCTCAATAGGAGGTGTATTCATGCGGTCTTTTCGTGGAATCTAGCGGTCCCCCGCGTTTGTGTAATTATCCCTTTGAGTTGTCTTTATTGTCAGTTAAATGTTTACTATCGCGCTCGTTAACAGTCCCTTTCATCTTTTATCCCTTTTGGAACCGTCACAATAGTGACAACGTATAATAATTTGCTATTGCGCATAATGCACAACGTGTATTCAAATGTTAATTATTATGCTTACATTATAAATTAAGTGTTGGTTTTTATTAATTTTTTTTTTTTTTTTTTTGTGAGGCTGCTTGTACCAACTGTTATTATATTTTTCGGAAACGCGGTATTTATCTTTTTCGAGACGCCAAGCCCACGGCGTTAATGAAATTATGTCCGTTAATTACACTTTAACCGTTATTACCAATGACATTTTATGGGGCTAAAATCAAGCGAGAAAACATCTATTCACCATCGAAACGGAAACAAAACCCGCCTGATCAACGTTAATGGATTTCCCAAATTAAATTAGTCGCGTTAAAAACTTTGTGGGAAATAATTGCAAGCATCGCGATCGCTGTTCGTTTCCGGTTAAAGTATACATAAGAACGTCTTCCAATTAGTTTCCTTGTCGTTCGCGGCGTTAAATTTCCGTTTCCATCCAGAGCGCTTGTTGTGCTTAATATCGTCCATTTGTGCTTATTCATCCGTTGTTATATTTTGTATTTACATTTCACCCAGCAGCCTTTACACCTATATATAAAGTCGTTTTGCATAGGTCAGGTCGGCCGAGCGAGGTCAGGGACCGCCGGTCATAATGATTATTGAGTAATACATTTGCAAACACTGACAAAAGAAAACGATTTTGTTCGACGTTTGGTGGCGATTTCGCCACTTTGAAATTGATGTGCTACCCGTAATGCACTTCTAAACCTCGGAGGTACTTTGGCTATCCTTAACATTGGTCACTGCGCTGGTTCTACACCGTGTGTATGTTTCAACGCCGTGTTCCGGATTTGATTCATCATCAGTCAATCGTGGCGCACTGCGGAAAAGATAATTTCCTCTATTTTGGTCGTTTTTTTTCATTGCTCCGTTTAATTTTGGACGAAATTAATTTTTCCGGTGTGTTTCATATGATGTCCGACACATCCATTAAGTATATTATTAGGCATATGAAATCGGATTCTGTCGAACGTAACAAGGTCACGCTCTAGCCTAAGTGACGTGATCGACCGTGACGTTGACGTGTGTTTGCCAAAGCATTAGGTCAGGTTAGACCGTCGACCGATATCGTCGTTCACTCGACAAACATATTTTATATATATATTTTATCCTATAACTCTGTTGATATCAGACTCCAAATTACCTATTTTCCAACCAATATGCAAGTCCAGAGGTTTAGCGATATTTTTTTCGACGGCTTTAGAATCTCGTGTCAGAGAGCGTCGGATTTTTTAGATTTCGTTTTATTGGATAAAAACCATTTCTTCAAAGCCGATAAGCTCATTTTGCAGTCGCCGTGGAAATGCCAGAATACGTTTGTTCTTACTTATTACTCTTGTATAATAGTCTTTAGCCGTTATGTAGACACCGTCATAAGAACACATGAATATTATATTAGATTATAATAATATTATTGTCATATTGTATCAGTCCATTAAAAAAAAATCCCTAAAACCCAACAAAATGTCGTTACTCGGGTAGGATCCGTAAGCTTTCTTTATATACCTATTACCTACTAGAAATAAGAAAGTAAAAAATATGCACTTACCGAAAAATATATCGTGTAAATTATAATTCAACAATATGCGGTTTGGTTGAACAGTAATCATATTTAAACCCTTTCCCCTAGAAGGGATAAAATTTTTTTCTCAATTTCACCTTTTCAAGCAAAGTTTTAGAGATTTAGGTCTGAAAATTAGACCGATAGTCGGTCTAGAATGGGACTAAAACATGATAGCATACAGTTTGTAGTAACACGTTTTTTTTTTTATTAAAGAAACCCCCAAAAATAGGGGAAAATTACACTTTTTGACGGTAATTTATCACTCTTGCGGTCAAATACTATTCACAGATTCGCATCGAAGCGTTTATTCAAAAGTGATTTTATCACTTTCAGCTTTAATGACTCTAGGAAGACCTGCGAGTGAGCTGAAAGTGCTTGATTTGGGGGAGGACGTGGGGGGGGGACTGAGTACCTCGACAAATTTTTTGTTTTATTTTAAAGGATTTGGTGGGCATCAGCAACGCACAAAAGCGCAACTGGCGTGGCATATTCATCGCACTGATGGTCATTGTAGCCGTGTTGGCCATGATCATCATGTCGGTGGTGCTGCTCACGCCCGAAGACGATTTCGGCCTGGGCGGACGGTGGCGGAGGATGAGGGGTCGTCGGATCCGGCTCGGCGACATCCTGGAAGACGGGCAATCACATTCCGTGCAGCTGTTTAACGGCTCTTGGATTTCGGGTAAGACACGGTTGTTAAAGTCGTGCAGTTGGGTTGGCGCACGTCTTAAAACGCGACGACTCAATGTGCTGTACTGTATTGATTTCTGTTTGATCGCCGCAGGGCACGAGATGATCTACAAAACGACAGAAGGCGGCGTAGGGCTGTTGGATGCCAGGACGATGACCAGCACTCCCCTCATGTCGAATCACACGTTTGTGAGTGTTATAAATCGAGTCGATGCGCGACGTAAAAATTAACTACCGCTTTCATAATATTCTATAATAATTGTTGTCCCAACAGAATTTACTGAACCCGGTGGTGGCGTTCACCATGTCGCCGGACAGGAAGTACTTGCTGTTGGCTCACGACGCGCAAAAGGTAATAAAAATGAAAAAAATCTACACTCGTGTACAACTATAGTAATAGTTAATGGTTTCTCGCAACCGTTGTTTGACTTGGGTTCGTATACTTTTGACTTAGCTATTCCGGCACTCATACTTGGCTCGGTACACGGTGTACACCATTTCCAACAGGTAAGCACAACATACGGTGCACTTTGTTCAGCGCACTGCTCTTGTAGTTCTTGAAACGGTGCATAGCCAAAGAGACCAGCAGCTAGTTTGAACATTGAAAAAGTATTTCGCGGCCAAACTAGCGTTGTCTCTCTTGCACTTTCTCGGACATGTCATTTTGGACATTGTGTCAAGGGCATTGCGCGCACTAAGTGCGCCATGGCTGAACGACTTAGTCTCGCTACTATAAAGGCTTTACTCTAAATTTTAATCGTTCACCTATAGCCAAATGATTTCGGTGACGGTTAACACCACCGAAACGGGTCAAAACTACACGGCCGGCCAGCAGAGTGTCGTCTCTCAACCGTACTTTATGCACGTCCAGTGGAACGGCGGCGTCCGGGCGAGCGGCGATGCAAATTCGGCGGTCGACGATGACAAGGCGGAGGAGGAGGATTCGTCTGCTGACGGATACGAGAAACCGGTCGAACCGGTGACAACGCCTTTGGGTCTGGTGGCGGTCAACAGCAATTATGACATCTACTACGTGGCAGTGTTGCCGGAGAAAACGGCCGACGCCGGCAACTTGGGGAGAAGACCACGAGGCTGGTATCGCGCAGGATCACCACCTCTGGAGTGCCGGGCATCATCAGCAACGGCGTGCCCGACTGGTTGTACGAAGGTAATCTCGAGGGTCTCGTATAATATTATTATTGTACACATGAATCATCACTGCCTGTTAAAGACCAAAGTCAAACTTGACTAGAGGAAGTATACACGTTACGCGCAAACGGTGTATCTCGGCATTGGTTATTGACGGTAATGCGCATCTATTGAATCTGAGTCATTAAATGAGTCACTATGTTGACATTTGTTAAGTACTATGCATGTGAGCTTAGCAGCCGAATTGCAGGTGATGAGAGATCCGAAAATAAATTGATTTTGGCTAGCACTAACGCGTGGGAAATCTTTTTTATTCTTTTAATTCAAATAAAAAAAGCGGCAAGTGTTGAGCGCATTTGCCGATTATGATTTTTTGTGTTTTTTTATAGAAGAAATTTTGAAATCACGCAAAGCCATGTGGACGTCTTCGCCGAGCAATCCGAAAATTATGTTGTTGTACGCGACGTTTGACGACACCGACGTGGGAGAGTACAAATTTCCCATGTACCTGAACACCGGGTTCGCGGACCGCCACCCTTACCCGGTGATCCGCAGCCTGCGCTATCCAAAGGTATTGTATGACAGTATTACGTGCCCGGTACAGTGGCTCGACCTATGGAAAACTTTGAAGTAGGCTAATTTGGGAACCCTAAGAGAAAAAATTACTATTATCGATATCAAGTTGATAAACACAGTTTCGCATCGGAGTTAAAGAAGCTAGAGTTGGAGTTGGAGCTTGAGATAACAGCTTGCGTACGAGTCCGCAACCATGGGAGATATATAAGGGTACATTTTCGTTAGGTTTTTTGGTAACGCTGTCGATTTTTTTGGATGTGTGCCAAAGTAAAGACATAAAATGTCAAAAACGTCTGAGGACCAAGTGATATACAGCGGTTATATACCTAACCGAAGATATACTATTATTAACCTTGCCATTTGAGTTGATCATAATTAATCATTGGTAATTCCAAAACGATAAACTATTTTATCACTTGGCCAATTTTTCTATGTAAGCTTAAGAACTATCTTCCCACATGGATGTTTTGACGGCGATTCTATTTATTATGAAATGACCGTATCCTGTTGTTTATAATTGAATTAGGTTTTTTTTTATTTTTTTTCCGCCCGTCCCGCCTAAATTTCTTCCCGAAGGCATTCACCATTCTTGTAATGTGATGTTTTTAGGCCGGCACGCCAAATCCTCGGGTGACCCTTTCCGTGGTCAACATCGCCGACATTGCGGAAAACCTTAAGAACAACAACGTGCGGCAACCGATTAAAATCCGCGAACTCACTCCGCCTTCGATGTTTCAGTTCACAGAGTACGTACTTGGTTATAATAGGTACAATGTTCTTTGTAATATTATTATAATGTTCTACATAGTAACAGCTGCTGCTGAGTTGTTGTATATATTATGTATACACCTAGGTTCTTAAGAAACTCTGTTTTTTTCCACAGCGACTATTACTTTACGGCGGTACAGTGGGTGAGCCCCGAAGAAGTTTGCGTGGTCTGGTTGAACCGTCGGCAGAACACGAGCGTGACGACCATTTGCAAGTCGCCAATGTGGATCTGTCAAGAGGTACGATTATATCACACTTACATTGAACACTATACAATGCCGAGCAAATTACGTGCCTATAACATGTAGCCGGTTCACAACCGTTTTCTAAAATGTTCACTTTGATATACAGTATAGTTTCTTATACGTACCTTACGATTTGGTGTTTTTGCTATCGCCTCTTTAATGTTTATTTTGAGAAATTCGCGTAGGCGCTTGCTTTGCTGTTTTAAAGCTTAAAGCGTCCGAATACTTTTTGAAAAACACGGGGTCTATTTGGCCTCTGATCCGGTACCTGTGATACATCAGCTGTGTTCTTGAACGGTTTACTTTTGCTCGATTTTAGACACAGATCGTTAACGCCGCCCCGATGATGACCCGCCATGGATATGCCGGTCACGGCGGTCACCCTCACGCCGGCAACGGGCAAGGCACGCAAGCGCACCTGGGCGGATGGGTGGACGTAACGGGAGCACCGGTGTTCAGCCGAGACGGCGACGGATACGTATCGTTAACGCCTATTAGGCACGGCGCCAACGCGGGGTCCGGACCGTCCGGTCTGGCCGGGATGCCGGCTTCGAACGCCAGATCTGATCCAGGAGCCGGCTACTATAGGCAGATTGTAGCCGTCAACATCACCAAGAAATTGTTGGTGCCGTTGACGTACGGCCCGTGGACCGTGGACAAAATCCTGTCGTGGGATTACGTTACCAACACCATGTAAGTACCAGAGAGATCAGTTGGGCGATGGATTGGATAGGTGCACTTTTGTAATTCCATTACTCCTGGCGGGGATAAGCGAGGCACACTGAGATGGTTGGTGTTACCACGCCATACGTACAAAAACGGGGCGTTTGCCATGATAGCATTAGTTGATTAATTATTAGAGTCAGACATTTGTCTAGTAAATTTCCTGTGGATTCCGGTGTTACAGAGTTTTGGATGAGATTCTATCGTGAGCCAGCTCCTCTTCATTGTCCACTCCCAACCGCGATACATCATGGGTGTATTTGATACACTGTATCATCCTGTCTCTCCGGTTTCCGTCTTGTGGCCATAACCCAATGTGGCCTTCCGAACTCGATACACGTCCAGTCCATCTTATTATCTACTGCTCTAGAGGACTCCAATTATGTTTGTTACTCCATACAGTTCTGCTATTTCTCGGTTTGGTCTTCTTATCTCGAATTCTCCTTGGGCGTTTCCATTTGGACCAAATATCCTCGTAAGGACCTTTCGTTCAAATGTAGCTGGTTTATTTCCATCTGTCGTTGCCCATGCGCCACAAGCATATAGCGCTACCCAACTCACCAGAACTTTGTACATCGTGCGTTACCTTATAGATACTTCCTAGCTGTGCCCGCCGACCGACCCAGCGAACGACATCTATACGCCACCACGCATTACTACAACCACGTCACTCAGCTGAGCAGCTCGTCTTCGTCGTACCGTTCGCATCAACCGCACACGCCGGCCCATTTGATCGATCCGCAACCGTCGGTGTGCTTGAGCTGTTCGGTCGAAGATTCGTCCGAGAGCGCTAACCAAACGGACGAAAAATCAACGGACGTGAACGACACGGCCACGAGACCGCCGACCACGACAGAGCTGCCGGAGAGCCCGGAATCATCGCTTCTGTACAAGTCGCTGTCGTCGCAATACCAGTCGGACCAGGCGGAACCCGGGCAAGGTCACAGCAGCGGCGGCACCGGCAGTAAGAATGCCAAACAAGACAAGTACGACGACCAGGCCGACCAGCGGAAACGACAGCATCAGCGGCTCCGGGAAAACGAACAACAACAGCAGAAGAGCAACAGAGGTGAGATGATATGATTTTGTAAAGCTGTAAACCCTAAAACTGCTAAAAGTTGTAAACCTTAAAAGCACACACCCCAGACCTCACTCAGCTAGGCCTTTTAGGACCTCGTGCCTTAGGAGGTAATCCCACTGCCCGAGACCGAGATAGAGTCTCGTATAACTATGCGATATTTCCAACTGTGTTACAGGTAAGATCACGAGGTAGGAAAATAATGGATACGAAAAGTTCTTAATGAATAACAACTTTTGTTTCTTAACCATGCTATTTTTGAAGTAGTTTCACTAGACACCCTCTTCTGTCACGTCGTCCTATCACTGTATAAAAATATGTTCACCAAATGTACTTATTGTTTTTAAATTCTGCGGATTTTTTAATATTTTTAATAAAAACTATAATATTCGGTTAAATTGCGTATGGCTTAATAACGTGATGACGACTAGTAATTGTCATAAAAAGAAACGGCGAGATTGACCGTGTCCAGAAATATTCATGGATTCCAAAAGCTTTTTTCGGAGTGGGCCACCTTGAATGAGTAACCTCAAAAATCGTTAATTGATTCCACAACCTGCAATATCATTGAATATCACTAGCTAACTATTCTATAGTTCTAAAAATGTTTAAAATGTAAATAGTAACTTTTATATTTAATAAGCTTTTTAAATAATGAATGGTGTGATGAAAATGTTGACTAGTCGATAACAAATTTTGGGCAATTACTTTTTGAGTGCCTAACTAAAGTTTAAAAATTAGCACCGGAGGCGGAGTACAGTGGAGTAATTCGCGAACAGGTATAAATAATATTACACTCCACCCAATCCTTCTGACCGAAATTTTAAACTTAAATAACTCAAAAATCAATCATCCAAAACTGGCCAGACAATAAATTAATAATTGTTTTTAGTATCTAGTTACCGCTACCGTTTTCCACTCGCCTAGCACGTCCGACAGTAATCTTGTACGGATATTATAGAGGTTTCTATGAGCGTAGGACTTGGGTGTATATTATACTACCCGAGATGATTTGAAAGTTGTATTGATTTTCGTATTTTACGCGACAGATCCGCGGAACAGACAAGGCGGCAATCAAAACCGGTGTAGCTATTACGACGCCGAGTTCAGCCCGACGGCCGAGTACTACGCTCTCATTTGCCTGGGACCGGGAGTGCCAATGGTGACGCTGCACAAAACCGTGGTGGTGCCGCAAGAAGAAGACAAGAAGCCCGACGAAGACGATCAAAAGAAAAAGGATTCGGTCTCAGAACCGCGTGCACCTCAGTCGTCGCGGCGACACCCGAAAATTTCCAGCAAGTTTGTCGGCACTCTCGAAAACAACACATACCTATTTGTACGTTTGCACATACTATACAGGGTATATCAAAAAGAATAGCGGGGTTAAGAATGGTGGGGTTTCAAACGGCTGTAGGTTGTGAAGTATTGGACCTACAGCGCTCTGGTAGGGCTTGAATGTAAGAGGGAGTTGTCGAGTTTCGAATGACTGCCACTAGATGTTTCACAGTCATAATTGAATTACCAACACAAACGGGAACGCGGAGAGACATCTAGTGGCAGTCATTCGAAACTCGACAACTCCCTCTTTCATTCAAGCCCTACCAGAGCGCTGTAGGTACAATACTTCACCACCTACAGCCGTTTGAAACCCACCATTATTTTTGGGACATCCTGTATCCTGTTACATTGACTACATACTCGCGTTAGTGATTCTAACTAACGAACTAATGACGTTGTTTGCATGCAAACAGGACAAGTACAACACTAAAGTGCACCTGCCGGCCAGTCGAACGTTCGAAGTGCGAGTGTCGGCCGGCCACAGCGCCAGAGTTCGGTTGTACTTGCCGCCGGGCGTTCGTTTCGACTCGGACGGCGATTCCGGTACGATAGGGTCGGGCGGAGCTGGCGCCAACCCGGACGACGACCGCAAGTATCCGCTGGTCGTTCACATCGGCGACGGCCCGGGCACACAGTCGGTGATCGACACGTGGCAGTTGGAGTGGTCGGTGCAATACTTGGCGGCGGCACACGACTACGTGGTGGCCGTCGTGGACGGAGGTCGTGGATCCGGAGGCAGGGGATACGATCTTCTGCTGTCCATCTACAAGCGCCTGGGAAACTACGACGTGGCCGACCAACTGGAAGTTACCGAGTGAGTACGCGTTCCTGAGAGAGGGTGAGATGGGAAAATACGATTTAAGGGGGTGGTTTAGGCATGTTATAAGAAGAGCGATGACAGAGAGCCAGCGAAGGTGGCAATGAGGATAGGAGGGGAAAAAGGCAAAAGGCCACAAAAGATCTCTTGAGAATGATACGAGGTTAGCAAAAGGTGTGTGAAGACGATTTGACAGATCCTGTTGAGTGGAAGTTGTGGGGGCTAGGGTGGATAACCTTGTGCACAACTGTAGGGAAGAATTGCTATCCACTTAACGACATGACTGCTGTTAATCTCTGTTAATATGATAATTTCTAAAATTTAATTTTTAGATATTTACGAGACAATTTACATTTTGTCGACAAGCGACGGGTGGCCGTGTGGGGATCAGCCGGTTACGGCGGTTACATAACTACTAAGTTGTTGTTGAACACCATGATCCAGGAAAAGAAACGCAACCATCGGAATCCGTCCGGCGGGTCACGGTTGCCGCTGTTCCGTTGCGGCATCGCCATCGCACCAGTGTGCTCTTGGAATCTCTACGGTAAGACACATTGGGGCGTTACCATACTGTAACACTCCAACTCGCAACTCCCCGCGTTGGACAGTCCGTTTGCTTGACACGGAGACAACAAGTCCGGAGAAGAAATGTTTTACTGGGTGAGAGAACCGATGTATGAGAACTGATGAGTTGAACATAGCGAATAAAATGAAGCGTGGTGCACAAGTGTAAGACAGTACGAGTGCAAGTGTATGGACAGCGAACGAATCGAGATTGTTGGATGTGTTGAACAATAATTGCCCAATTATTGGGATACTAGCCAGGAAGGAAACGAGTGGGTGGATATTTAGTAACTACTAACTGAGACACTGAGTGAATATGTTTGAGATGTTTATAGTGGACAAAAAGATCATACTCGGGCACGATTAATTGCTTATGACTTAGATTTTCCGATCAGCAGTGGACGTTAGACAAAAGACCTTCCAAAGGCTTCAATGCTGTAGGATTAGCGTAAACTATCACCCTTTGGCACCAAAACTCGATCGGTGCCAATCCACTAATGTAGAGTATGCTTCTTTTATGTAAGTAACGACCAGTGTGGATGTTATTCCTAAAATTTCTTTCTTCTCCCAAATTGATACAATTAGTACATCAGGACTACCTGATTACGTCGCAAGCTTTGTACTAAAAATCGTCCTTAATCTTTTCTTAGCTTAATTTGACACTCCTGTAAATGATATATTTTTTTTAATTCCCCGCGGCCACAGACAGTTGGTATGTGTGCTTAATCCTTCGTTCTTCAACTACTACTGATATATATATATATATTAAACCGTTAGCAGGAGAGATTCTGTCGGTTGTGCCTATCATATCGTGTTCGGGTCTTTCTCGGCGTTGGCGATTGTGAATTTTCATAAATATGTCATTGTCGCCGCCATTGCAAGTTGCGCTATACTAATTATTAAAGTGTGTGCGTTGTTGTTGTTGTTGTTACAGCTTCGTTCTACGCGGAACGTCACATGGGAATGCCGGACGAGAACCCCAAGGAATACCACGATTCGGACCTGGTCACCGACATCCAGCAGCTGATGGAGGCGTACAAGGAGGAGGAGAGCCTCCGGTCGCCGCCGCTGTTCTACGGACAACGGCACTCGGGCAGCGGCCGGCACGGCAACAGCAAGGAAACGTACTACTCGCCGGCGCCGTCGTCGTCGCCGTCGTCGCAGCAGCAGCAGCAGCAGCAGCAGCAGGACCAGTCGCAGCAACCGCCTTACCGGTACCCCGAGTTCTACTTCGTGCACGGCACCGCCGACAGCAAGGTGCACGTGCAGCACACCATGCGGCTGACCGCGGCTCTGACCCGGGCCGTGGACGGCGTGCTCCAGTACAAGCAGCAGGTGTATCCGGACGAAGACCACGACCTGGCCGGCGTGCGGCCGCACTTGTACACCAGCATGTCCTACTTCCTGGACCAGTGTTTCCGCAGCAAGGAAGGCGAGGACGACGACGGCAACGGCGACGACGACGGGTACGGTCACCACGACCACCATTTCGAACACTACCACGAAACGTACTACGGCAACGGTGGCCTCGATTGAGACGCACCATCAAATAGGTTTCCCCGAAATCCCCCTTGTCCCGGGGTATCGTTTCCCGAAAAAATATGTTAGGGCCGACCAAACGCGGTTATTCCCGGTGTCCTCTGTGTGGCCGTTCTGATTCCTAATCATTTCTATCGTTTCTTTCGTTCATCTCTATGGGATAGTATGTATCTACGTGTGGGAGGGCAGTATATACCTCTTATACGAGGCGCTCAGATGCAAAACCCCGATTAACTCCGATAAAATGAAAATGTTCAAGATAAGGCAGTTGAAGTTATTTGAAACAATGTATGTAAAAGACGTACAATTGCCAATTTTCTTAGCGCGCTCTAGCGGTGAAAAATTCAACTGCGGAGTTGTTTATCTTGGCCACTGAAAATTGTACACTTTTTTTCAATCCAACCACGCTATTATTGGCAATTTGAAGAGAGAAAAAAGCGGAGTTAATCGGTTCGGCATCTGAGCGCCTCAACTATTATAGTACCCCCTAGTCGACACCAATAGGGTTGAAAATAGTATGCTACATATTAGGTACTAGTTAGGCTAGTTACTATTAGGTTATAGGCGCGCAGTACTCCCCCATTAATGCAGTTCACACCAAACATTTACAACCTTTATCGACCAACCAAAGTATTGAGAACATGTATTTGTATAAATTACAAATAATTTCTCTGTGTGGGTTTCTCAAACTAAAAATACTGGAAATAATAATTGTACCATACCGTTTATACGTCTAAATAGATAACAATTCAAAGATATCATCGTTTTGGTCTAAAACAATATTAGCGAATCACTTTACATTATGTGTACAACGTATTTTTCCATATTATACTATATATTTCAATATTATTCTTATATTATCGTTAGAATTAATTTCCTTTTATATATATATATATATTTATAAATAGTCTATTTTAAATATCTTTACTTCTATTTTTTTATATATTAAAATAATAGGCACTATAATTTAGTATACATTATTATATAAGTATTGAAATGGTCTTCAGCCGTGCGCGGTCCAAAGTTTAGGTGCTCTATATACAACGCTACGACCCTCCGTCTATTGTTTATTTATTTGTACCTAATTTAATGTGATTAGGTTATTGTTATTATGAAAGTGTATTATTATAACTATAGAATATTGTAAACTATATTAGTGCCTATCATTATTATTATTAATATTGTATTTTAATCGATAAACTTACAAAGGGAACGTATCTATGTCTGTGCCTTAGGATTTAACATTATCATCGCTATATTATTATTATTATTATTATACATAATATTCTATCGTTCAACTAGTCTTAAGCCGTTCGCGGGCCAACGTTTAGGTGCTTTATATTTGTATTCGTCTATTTTTCTAAAATTATTAGCAATCATCGATTATTATTATTATTATTATTATATTGTTATCGTTCTTATTAATATTGTTTTGAAATTATTTTTTTTTAGGTAAGTATAATAATAATTATAGGTATAATAGACTCGAGCAATCGTCGGGTTAGACCGCGACTTGGAAAACGAAGTATTTATATTCTGTGCCTTAGTGTATAACGTTATTAATCATTTTTATTATTAACATTAATTATATAATATTGTAATGTAATTTTTGGATTAATATCGTAGGAAACAAGTACTTATCTCCGCAGGGTTGTGTATCATTGTGATTTTCTTATGAAAATCGTGGCTCTGGTTAGTTGAAATTAGGATTGGACGAGGTCTTAGTATCGATCATGATCGGGTACAGTTTTAGTTATCTTAATCGTATACCTATACTGTTGTAGCCAAAACACAACGATGGCATTAGCGGTAGACGGTTGCATTGTTTACTTTTAAGATAATAATATTCCATTCTATTTGTACGATAGAATATAATTTCCAAACCGAGTCTCTGGTTCGCCAATAATTTATCTAACGGTTTGCAGCAATTGATTTTATTAATTAGTTGAGTTTCGGTTGGACAGCGTGTGCTCTCTACAATGCAACGGTGTAATATTTTTAATTGAAAATAAACTTTAGTCGACGGGCAAAGTCAGTTTAACCCCTTAATCGGTACAATCATTTGCACTTGTAGATAATAATCTTAATAATTTTTCAAAAACCCAATCTTACACACATTTGGCGAATCGCCTCGGTTACCTACATGTTTATATTATATACCACTTATTGTCTGTACAATGTATTTTTCCATAATATTATCGAAATGTTGAAATAACAACAACACGTTATACTTATCGTTAGAGTTTTAAGTGTATAGTTTATATTAATATCATTACAAATGTCTTTATGTCTATTTTTGTATATTACTATTATTATTATTATTATTATTATTATGTACATTTATAGTAGCATTGAACGCGGCATCTGTTGTTTTTTAATTAATTATTATTTTATTATTGTCACTATACTTTACTTCGGCTCTAATTGTTGTTTTTGTACCCCCATTCGTTTATAAACGTATTATTGTATATTTAATTGGTAGATATGACATATTATATTTGTGTAATCTTCGTACCTAATATCTATAATAATATAATATATATATAGTAACCTGTATAGAGGTCAGCCAATAGCTATTACTAAATGATTTGTCTTTGTTTACCCCATTTTTTGCAATTTATAAGCATTATATTGATTATTTCACCATAATATGCAGTTTCTTTTTTAAATTGCGGGACAACTAAAAAAAAAAAAATATGATAGCAAATTATTATTGGACATAATGAATACAGAATTTCCTTAGATTTTGAGTACGTACCTACGCTAAATTCTAAGAAATATTCATATTCATATATTATGTATTGTAATGAAATAAACAGACGGTGTATTAAGTCACACCATTGTCTATTAGACAAATAAATGCATGTAATAAAATTAAAAATTAAAATAGCAAATAGGCACTATTGCAATGTATTTAATTGTTAATAGAGCGACTTTTTCATCGGCTCTATGAATATAAGTCACACGGTAATTTTTCGGTATACTGTTGAACTTCTTGATTTAAAAAAAAAAAAAACAATTATGATAATGGAAACGGAAACAAATTTTATACCGATAACTTAAAATAAGATTTCATACCCAAGCGGTGTAACGGTTAGAATTTTGAAGAAAAAAAAGTCTGCGTGTCTGCATCGTAACATTAACGGTTGATTTTCAATTTTCCGCTAAACTTAAATAATAGATGGCGAGTTGGTTCTGAGCCAATGATATGAATTGAAAACAAATTTAAAATAAATTATAATGATATAAATAAATAAAAACGACACAAAATAGCATAACGAAAGTAGCGCCAAAGAAAGCGCGACCTAGCGGTTTTTTTTATGTATGATATATTTATATATAAGTGTACAAAATGTCTTGAGGCAAGTCTTGTAAGTTTTTAGATCTGGACAATTATTTTATGTAAATTTACTTTATAGTTGTATAAACAACTTATTACTTACTTATTCACGGCCATATTTTATACAATATATAAACTGATAATATATTACATTCATTAAGGTAAACCATGAAAGGTACAAATCCATATTATCTGTATTGATATTTGATATTTTTTGTAAAATGGGTAACCAAATAATATTTGTCCTAATAAATGAAAATAATTATTTCACAACATTTGGCCACAACATAAAATTAACACTACACTATGGTCCAGAGCCAGCGTACTAAAGCATGTTGCATGTTTTTTAAATTTTAGCCGTTACGCTCCAAGTAGTCTGTAACTTTTGTTTCGCACTAAAATTTTCATACTTTTCGAATTAATTGCTTGACAACAACAAGATAAATGTATTTAAAAAAAAAATCTATAAAGTCTACAGACTTGGCAAGCCTTTTACATAGCGTAGCGATCTCCTTTAACCGTATCTCGTACACATTACTCAATAGTAGTAGAGTTCGGACGTTAATGACCGTAAAATTTATTGAAATATGCATTTTAAAACGTGCAATTGTAAGGCTTTATTGGAATTGGCTAACCATTTTAGCCGGCTTGACATAATTTAAACAAGGTTTATTGTTTAAAAAGGTATTTTTACGTATCAGAGTAACGTTGAATTAGTACAATTATTATTTTGGTGATGTTAAAAGAACAACGACGACTAATATTTTTGTAAATTTTGTACAGTGCTTATTTGTATAACTAGAATTTGCGTTTTCAAACTTTCTCACAAATTGTGTAAGCATACAATTTTCTCAAGACCATTTTTATCGGTAAACACCGATAAAAGACAATTATAAAATGGAACATTTTTTTATTAATAGCTATACTTACAATTATTGTGCTACTAAAAATCTAGAAATAACCATTACAGGCTACTAATGCTGAAGGGTTGTCAAATATGCAAATATATATATGCAATTATCGATTCGAAATCTAGTTTTTGTATTGTAATTTTTGAATCTGAGTACGATTATCGTGTACTTGGGTGGGATAAAATATTATGTGATTTCACTGGAAAACAAGTAATAGGTAAGTCACACCTACGAAGTCACACTCAGACATCCGAACTCGACTGCTGTCCTTGGAGTTACAACGAATTAGTGGTATACGATTATTAGATTTACACGTTGGAAAAATAATAAAGTAATTATTATTATTCCTACGTTATCCCTAACGTAGGAGGGTGTAGTGTGATAACGGCCGCCGCCGTCGCCGTTATCGTGGCGTGTGCGTGTGTTTACATTTTGTGTTTACGGCGCGGCCGCCGCGAAATGTACCTCCAACGACCGGGTGCCGTTGCGCGCGGGTGCGCAACGTTGCGCACCGGCCGTGCGCCGAATGCCATAACAATAATAATGTTGTTCACAACGTACACACACACACACACACACACACACACACCGCTGGCCGCCGTCGTGTTGTGATTTTTTTTTTTTTCACCTCTCCGCCGTGCCGTACCGAGCGCCACAGCCGTTTGCCGTGTTCGAGATAGCAATTACATACACACACACACACACACACACATCACGATATTATTGTAATATATAATGTGTAATAATATGATATATTATAATTTATAATAATAATAATAAAAAAATTAAAATATTATATTGTTATTTTATGCCCAAGCATCGCTGCTCAAGAAAATACATAATATCAAAACACTACGACGGCCGCCGACACCAAAGAGAGATAATACGTGCAGTACGCGGTGTAACGACACACGGCGGTAACGAGTGTAACAGAGGATTCTTTTTTTTTTTTTTTCGTTATTATTATTATTATTTATTCGATTCGACGACGACCGACGCGCGCGGTATGACATTTTTAATATTCGTTTTGTGTGTTTTTTCGCCGTCCGGTACGCGACAATCTTAATTATTATTATTCGTCATTTGACAATATTATATTTACTCGTTTTGCCGCTGAACAAACGGTGTGGTGTTTTTTTTTTTTGTTTTTTCATGTGTCACTGATAAGTCCCGAAGTGTCCGTTTTCAGCAGTGCGCAAGGTAACGTTTTTGTTTGTTAGTTGTACACCACCAAACGGACAACAACCCGCAGCCACCGTCGTCCGGTCACCGTCACATGTCTTCACCACCGTCGGCACTTACCGTCGACGGCACCGGCAACAACAACGGTCGTCTGCAGCCGTCAACACCGGGACCGCAGCTGGCCGATACGACGGTTGTCTGCTCGTCGTAGTGAGCCGCCGCCGCCGACGACGCCGTGTTGTCGACATGAACACGAGTGGTGTCCGCGACGAAATCATCGATACCGTTGTTGTGCTCGCGACGACACTGTCGGCAGACCATTACGACCAAACACGACGATACGACTGTGGTGGCCGCCGTTCCGATGGCAGCTGCTGCCGCAGCAGGGGCAACAGCCGCCGCCACTTCGCCGTCCGGCATCGACAATGATGCCGCCGAGGCGCACCGACAACACGAACAGGATCAGAGGCTGCAGCACAACAGCAGCGGAGGTAGCAGTAGCGGCAGCAGCAGCAGCAGCGGCGCCAGCACCGGGGGACCGCCGAGTCCCAAATCGATAACCGGCGGCGGCGGCTGTGCAACGAACGGCGAGGTCGTCGAAGCAAAAGCTTCGGCCGTCACAGACGCTGCACCGCCGAAAACGACCGACACTGCGACGGGAGAAACGCCTACGATCGGTGGCCGCCTCACTTTCTACAAAGGTACAAACGCGAGGTGTACACGATGGGGGATTTATTTTTTTCAATACCACAAACACTTGTTTTCATCGACACACTTTATATATTATAGTTTTACTATCGAGAGTACTCGGTGATTTAATTTAATTTTTTTTTTTTTTTTCTATCCATATCAGATGGTAAATTTATCTTTGAATTGGCCCATCAACGGATGTGCGGCGTCGACGACACGTGTCGTTGGATGCCGGTCAAACAATCAAAAAATCACCAACAGCCGCAGCAGCGTTACAACAGTAGCGGTGCCGGCAATAGGAAATCTTGGCCCGGCATATTCGCCAACAACAGAGAAGGTTCCGGTGAGTTATGGCCAATTTTTTTTTAATAATTATAATTTATTTAAAAATAACCGAAAAAGTCTAATTTAATATTACGTCGGGCTCTGTTTCTTTAAAAAATTATACTTATTAAAAGACATATCAAATGTTGTCGTCATTGTTATCCACTCGACGACATAATCAGTGAAACGCACAGTGGTTTAATGACTACGCACTCAAGTGTAGGTATAATATAGGCTATACGTATTGGTATAAAGTATCGAGTAGAATATCATTACATGGTCTATGACGATTTACAGAGTGAGAAAAAAAACCACTTGCCGTTACATAGTCAGTCGCCTTGTGGTGCTTGTACGTGATATCCAAAAAACGATGTTTGTTTGCTATTGTGTTGATGACTTGTCAATGGAAAAAAATATATAATTATTTCCAAAGATTATTGTGTACCTAAATATACATATATATATAACATTTCTGTATTGTCGTAACATTTTATCTTTGACAAACGATGAATCAACAGTGACATTGTATATACATATATTAATAAGTGTTTTGCGTTAAGGACCTATAAAGTAGTTGTACAATTTCTTTCATTTGAAACAGCTACAAATGCGATGCTTTCGGTAACTGATTTGAATAATATAAATCTTTTCCTCAGGTAGGTGATACAAAAAGCGGCTATATATTTTGTCGCTTTGGGTATAATTAAGTTTTGTTTTTAATGTCGTCAAGACATATTATTACAAATATGTAATGTATAATATTATTGTCTTTCGGTGTTATGAAAATAGGCAAGATAATTGTAATCCTACACAGACGGCGCATGGAAAATATAAAATATATTTTCAACAATACTAAAGTCAAAACCTTTTTTAAAAGTTTTCAATAACGTTTTCGCGTTATTTTTGAAATATTTATTTTACACTGTCTGTTTGGGATAGATTGTTTTGGACTTGCCTATTCATTACACTACTGATTGTACTTAAAATCTAAATACGTTGTTTTTTCAAGTAAAAAAAAAAAATAATTGAATTCAATTTTATTTTGTAGCTATGTAAAATTATATAATTGCCGGTAGATCACCGACAGTGTTGGTTTTTGATATAGCCGACTAATATAAATATATATTTTTATGCATAACTCATTTTTATATAATATATTTATTTTCATTATTTTGTATGTTTGTAACTTATTTTTAGTGTTTTCAATGAGAGTTATTAATATTATTATGTGTGATCTGTCGTGTACGGTAGTGTGTAAATAACAGCAACAAATATTTATCAACGGTAAATATTTGACTCGAATGAAGGCGCATTAATAATAGTTCCGTGTTTTTTTTTTTTGTGCATTTCATTGACTTGAATTTTTCCGATAATAAAATACTATTAGCTTTATTTTATTTTTTGTTTGGCGACCATAGTCCGTGTAAACGTTGTAACGTCTTGGCTGTTTACATGCATAAACTGGTTAGGTTAGGTCAGGTTTGGTTGTTTGTAATGTTTTAATTTGCCATTATTATTACTATTAGATACTTGACACTGTTGTTGTACACTGTGAGAGTGGACTTTTGGCAAATTTTACTTCACAAAGTACATTTATTTATTCGTAGTGTCTTCGGGTCAATGTAAAAGTAACGGTACACCGTCGCCGCATCGTGATGATACATCGCTGATGCTGTATCGAGATTTGTTTAACCAGCCTACTATTTTAGAATGCACTTTTGAAATTACACAACCACGACAACGCTATCATTATAAATGGACTTATTGAAAGGAGCTCTAAAATCAAATAACGATGATTCCATTATTTATTCTCAAAACAAAAGAAATGTACATTCATCATCTTTAATATGATACGGTAGTTGTTGTAGATGTTTTTTTTGTAATTTTATCAAATATTTTGTGGGAGAAGTCGCAAGACTTCCAACTGGAATATCATCCTCCTCGTCCGAGTGTCTTCTCTGATACACCACACACCGACGGGATCGGTTACCTCATTGCTAAATCTAAAACCTTAGAGTTTTAATATAATATAAAGAGATAAACTAACATTTTCTGCTAACTTGTATATGCGATAGTGGAGCGTAGTAAAGAGTATAGATGGACTAAAAACAGTATAAGGACACACAATAGGGAAATGTTAAGCGATTGGTTACTCTCTATATTATGATAAAATCATTTTTTACCCTTTTCAAGCACATTATTGTCATTGCTCACACGATGCTTGTATCGTTATTTGTATTTCTACCGTGTTGCAGATTCGCATCAAAGCTGTAATTTTATTCATTTATCGTATGGCATAAAAAATGTATCACACATAGTTTGTATAATATAAAATTTATATTACAACATGGTTATACGTATCTTTGATAAAGCAAACATTATTTTGGATGTACATTTAGTACATAGTAACGGTACATACGTTACGGTTTAGTACATACTGTGGTAAAGGAGTGTAATAAATAAAACAGTAAGCAGTTAATAATATTATAACAGTGGTCTTTATTAAGATTTATGGTTTAAAGTTCCAAGTGCAATGATTCTACCCATGTGATTATTGCTTCAGGGGACGCTGTGCATATATTATCATCCCATGGTCCTTGGGACTTTCTCGGGAGGCACAGTCACATTGAGTGCTGTCTGTCATTTCCCCCCCCCCCCATTTGAAAAGTATTTCTTGTGTGACCACACCCTCCCCGCCGTGCCCTCCCCTCCCTCTCGCTGTACTGGATTTCTTTGCTAATTTGTTTTTTTTTTTTTCAAGCTTCCGACGATAACGCTTCCAATATGGCTGCCGGCTCGCTGTTCAAAAAGTGCATGTTCAGACCGAAAAGGCAACGGAAAACGAAAACTCCCAGCCGGCAGATCAACTGTCACATGCAGTTCGCGATGAAAGCCAACAAGAGCGTGGCGGCCGAGTTGAACGCAAAGAGACGCCGTCACCCGGGCAAGAGGCGACTGATGATGATGATGATGACGGTCGACCGCGCGGCGATTGGCGACGGCCACGACGACGGCGGCGGCGGCAATAAAAAAGACAGCGGCGGCGACGACGACGCACACGACGATAGACTTGAAGGGGAAGAAAAGACTGCTGCGGCGGCGGCCGCCGCCGCCTCGAAAAAACCGGCCGGCAAAATCGATGGTCGGCGGCACCGCCATAGGAAAAAAGCTCAACCTCTGTACGCCGTGGTGCACGGCCTGTGGGAAACGGTGTTGTCGAAAGAGGCCGCCAACAGACAACAACACCGGGACGCCGAAGAGACGCCCGCGGACGGCCGTTCTCCCACGGCGGTCGGCATGCCGTCGCCCCGCAAACACCGTTTGCTCAGCAACGACACCGACGACTGGACGCCGACCAAGCAGCAGCAGGCGGCGTCGTCTCCGGCCGCCGTCGACTTCAGCCCCAACAGCAACAAGAAGTACTGCCGCCGAAACCTTTCATCGCCGGCCGCCACCGTTGCCGCCGCTCCGCCTCAGCCGCCGCCGTCTTCGTCTTCGGTCAACGGTATCGGCAAAGACGACCACCACCACCACCGTCGGCAGCAGCAGCAGCACAAGACGACGGCCACCAAAACCACCAACAATCATAGTATTAACGCCATACTGGCGCCTACGCCTCCCGTCGCCGCTGTACCACACGTTAGCAACAACAACAAAGACTTACTAGTATTAGCAGCCGACGAGTCGGTCAACAGCGGTAGCGGCAGCAGCTGTACGGCGACCCCGCAGAGCTTGTCGCTGCTACGAAAGCTGTTGAAATCGCCGGGACCCAACACCAACGGCGGCGGCGGCGGCGGAGGATCTAACCGCGCCGCCGTCTCCAGCCCGACGGCCGACAGGCTTTCGCCGCACCACCGGCAGAGGCACAAAGTGTTCTCGCCGCCCATCATCCAATCGCCCAAACGTCAAGCCCCGTCGTCGTCGTCGTACCACCACGAACACCAGCTGCTGCTGAGGCGCTCCTCCAAGGATTCCGCCCCGCCTGCCGGCTCCGACATGAAGGCCGTGCCCATGGACCCGTTGCAGGGCGCCGCGGTGGCCGCGGCCATTTTGATGGACCAACGCCTGCAACATCCCGGCTTCAACCCCGTCGTCACTTCGGGCGGTGGCGGTAGCCTCCACCATCCGGCCATGTTCCATCCGCCGCCGCCGCAGTACCACCATTCGACGCAGCAGCCGACGCCGGCCCACTTGCCCGTGCCGAGCCGCAGTACCAATTGGCCGCCGCCGTCGCCGTACGGCGGCACACTTCCCGGCCACTATCCCGGCATGATGCTGCTGCCGTCGCCCCATCACCATCACCACCCGCACCCCCACCATCATCATTCCCCGTCGTCGCCTTCTTCTTCCGCAATCCAACAGTCCGCGTCGCCGCACTCGCCGCTGATCGTGGCGCCCTATTCGCCGTGTTCGCCGGCGGCCATGTCTTCCCCGTTGTTCAGCAACCCTCCCTCCTCGTCGTATCACCACCACCACCAGCAGCAGCAGCAGCACAGGCATCATACGGTCGTCGGCTCGCCCGGTAGTCTTCTGTTGAATCACCAACAGCAGCAGCAGCAGCAACACCATCGGCGGCACACGGACAGTCCCGGCGGCGTGTTGGCGGCCACCGTAGACGCTACCGGCGCATCGGACGACATAGGTAAGCATATCTCTACCGACACGATGATAATATAATTATGTGTTTTTATGCGATAAACCGTTTAGGCGTGTGACATAATATCATATGAAAAATGGAAAATTTCCACGTCATTCCCGTCAATTTCCATGTCATGGAAAATATTGTCCGGTAGATGGCAACACTTGTTTTATTTTGGCCCTGACATTTTGGTATTAGCAATTTATTTGGCTTGTGTAACACATCGGTTTTGTACTTGTGAGAAAGACTTTTGTTTTGCAAAAATCTGATTGAATTTAAACATTTCAATTGCATCATGTACGCTATTGTGGCTCAAGCCGTTAAAGTATAGGTACATAAGATGTTATAATGTAAAATGTGCGCCTAATTTATCATTATTTTTCCTTTAAGAAATCTTTTAAGTTTGATGGTTACCGTGATTTCGGGTGACTTTGGATAATTTTTAACAGAAATTTGACAATAAAGAATTTTCACTAGAGGAAATGGAAATGGTGTCTTAAAAGTTAAGTCTCGACCTAAATATTTATTTTTTCTCGCTTAAAAAAAAAAAAAAAGATCTCCAATGGCCCAGCAAATGTGCGTGTGACTTTGGACAGACATGTTTTTCAAACGCATTTCCAAAGATAAACCTCATAGGTGCGTGGCTTAGGTTTAACCGTTTTGACCAACCAATTGTTGTTTAAATGTACAGTAAAATATAATACTTACCTTTAACATTATTTTTGTTTTGCTCCGACCGTACGCATTGTGCTTGCTGCACACGACATCAGCTGATCAATAATAACTCTTTATAACGGACATTTTCGATCTGACAGTGTAGCCAACCGAGAAAAACAAAATATCCCCGTTTTGTTCAAGTCACCGGTAGTTACCACCGTCCAACGTTACCTTTATTTTCATTCAATCAATTTCATACAGCGTATTATGACAATATAACACTCGACTGCCTTTGTAGAAACAATGATAATGATTTTAATAATGTTTTTTTGTTTGGAGAAAACGACACACGCCTGTTGTTGTTCGCAACAAAACTACCAATTTTTTTTTTCACTTGCCGTCCTTAATTCGTTTGTGGTTAATGGAACACAATTTTAAAAGAAATTCGGTTTTATCGGTTTGGCGACGGATTATCCAGATTTCCGGATTTGAATTTTTTACATCTAAATAAAATTATTGTTTTATTTTTTATTTAAATTAAATTAAACCAAGATGGTTTGAATTTTAGTGATTGCTCTCTATATTTTTCCACAAATGGGCTTTTTTTTTTTTTTTGCTAACTAAAGCTGTGAAAGTCATAAATATACCGTTGGTGTTTGGGGTTTCTCCATTGTAAACAAATTAATTAAATACAATTTTGACCACCTTTCACTGCATGCATGTAATTTTTTTTGTTTTTAGGAATGATTAATGATAGGAGTATTATAATAAAAATATATTTGCCATTTTTATGCGTTTTCTACTGCAGCAGCACTCTATTGACAAAAAAATCGTTAGTTGAAAATCGATAGTCGAGTTATTTTTCCAACAGATAGCGGCGCGATGTAACAAAATAAATAAATATTAACCATAATACACTTACACGCAGTGAAAGGTCAAGTAGTAGGGGTACTTGGAAATGAAAGGAATTACCATTATTATTGTCGGTTTTTTTTGGTAGAATTATTTTCCCAATTTTAATATGATTTTGTTACCTTCTTCTTACAAATTAATTTCACCTACAAATTACAAAAGTCTTAATTAATAAGACTTACGAAGTTTCTTACAGATTTTCAATCTGTACTTTAGTTTTTATATATGATGCGCTCAGAAGCCACGATTAACTCCACTCTTTTTTTCAATTTGCCAATAACAAATAATGGTCGGATTATACAAAAGTGTATAATTTTCGGTGGCCAACATAAATAACTCCATAGTTGGATTTTCGCCAACTAGAGTGCGCCAAGTACATTTACACACTTACATACATTGTTTCAAAGAACTTTAACCGCCTTATCTTGAAAAAAATTGATCATTTTTATGGAGCTAATCAGTTTGTGGCTTCTGAGCGCCGCCCTCGTTTATTACAAATTCGATTATTATTAATATCAATACAACTTGATTTTTGATATTTATATGTTTACAACACACTTTATTAATTATTATGGTACACACAGCTCTATGTCGACTACTACTACTACTATATTAAGCTGTGTGGTTTTAGTTTGTGTTGGCCCCTCAAGTGGTTAAAAATTTTTATTATTTTTCTCTTAACGTTTTCAGATGTTCCGCTGAATTTGTCCAAGAACAGCTGTTCGACGTCTTCGTCCGCTGCCGGATATTGATTACGACGACGAAAGAATATTATCAACGAACAACAACAATAGCGAGTAGAGACTTGTGTGTGTGTGTGTGTAGTGTTGAGTCGACATGAAATTTATATTTAATAATATTATCGACTGGAATTTTTTTTTTTAAAAAATTTTTTTTATTAAATTTATTATTATAATTTTTTTTTTTTTACCCGTAAGAGAATAATCATTGTGTATTGTTTTTTTTTTTTTTTATTTGTTTTAAACCACGACCGTGCCTTTCGTCGATACATATACGTAGACGTATGTAGTAAGAATATATTTATATTTTTAAATATATATATATAATATATATAAATATATATATTTTTTTTTTATGTCGAGCGTGAATATTATTGTGTTATACTATTGTTGTCGGCGGCGTGTATTTTGTATGTGTAAAAAAAAAAATTAAAAATTATATAATATTGTGTAATGGCGCGATGATAATAATCATAAACATTAGTAATATTAGTTGTAATACATATATATATATATATGATATAATATTTAAAAAAAAAACTGATTAACTAAACGTGTGTATAGTCGACAAATATAATAATATCGTGTACATTATCGTACATATTTATATTTTCCATCGGAACGATTGTGTTGTGTATGTATGTGTGCGTGTCTTGCATATTATACAAAAAAAACGATCCGTGTATAATTAGTACTAGTGTATATTAATATAAAATATATTATAGTGAAGAACAAAAAATAAAAATAAACGAAAAATATATATTTTTTAAAATGTTTATATTTTTTATATATATTTTTTTTTATTTTTTCGAAACGTGTCCTAATAATAATTGTTGTTGTTACACATTTTTAAAAATTGTCTTAAATCGAGGTTTTCATCGTCATCATCATTTATATGTACACTTACACACTAAAAATTATATACGCAAACTCTAAGGGTGGAGAGGGATGGAGGGAGGTAGGGACACATTTTAATTCAAAATATAGACGCAAAATTACTGTACTCTACGGTATTATGTATGTATGTATTGTACATATTTAAATATAATTAATGTATGTATATAATAATAATTTAAAAAATTGTCACAAAAAGGGTTTTCAAAAAAAATATTTGTTTTTTTTTTATGCTCAAGTGGAGAAAAATCGGTAAGAAAATATATATATCGTGTGGTGTACGTAGACAAAAAAAAATTGAAATAATACGTTTTGAGTAGTCGAGTACAAAAAAAATGTTGTCGTTTTTTAATACATAATATATACGACGACAAAAGCGCAAATAATAATAATACAAACACCCCGAGAGAAACGTCGAATCCGGTATGCGGTTACCGGTATCTGTCAAAAGAAAACAAAAACCCTTTCAAGACAACAGTAATAGTAGTGGTGGTGGGGGTGAGGGTGGTGGTGGTGGGGTGGGGGGAGGTATTACAATGGCGCGCTATAAATCAATGCATGTACAAAAAAAAAAAGTTTTATAATTAAAAAAAAAACGAAATGTGAAAAATAATTAATCTAGGCAAAGAGGGGAGGGTGCCCTCCCCCCGCAGAGTAAAAATGTCGTGAAAAATAGTATTATTATTACATTTTGGTTGATTACAAAAAAAAATGAAAAACCAATAGCGGCGGCGGTGATATTGTAATTATATTTCTACTAGTGGCCGCTTCCGCCGCCGGCTCCGGTCCGCGCCAGAAAGTCCTTGATGGCCGTCGTCTGCTGTTGGTGTTGCATCAGGCCGGCCGCGGCCAACACGTTGGCGGCGCCGGCGGAGCCCATGAGACCGGGCGGCGTGGCCGACGTGGGCGGCATGACCATCCCGCCGGGCGGCTGTATCAGCGACTGCATGATGCCCATGCCGGACGACGAAATCAACGGTCGGTTGCCCAACGTGCTGAGCGCGTCGGCTATCGACGGGGGTTGGTGGTGTTGTTGTTGCTGCACCGCCGACGGCGGCATGGTCAGACACATGGCGGCCGCCGACGCCGCGCTGCCGCCGGACGACGGAGGCGCACCGCCGCCGGCTCTGGCCACCGCCGTTGCTCCTCCGCCCGGCTGGATGGGTCTCCACGGCTTGCGGGCGGCTCTTCGCAACTGTTTGCCCGTGATCTGCTTTCTGCATTTCCTGACAGAAACGTTACGTTAAGATGACGGGTCGATATTGTTGTGGTTAACGCAATGTTTAAGCAATACTACTGCTAACTACACGGCAATTATTATTACTATTGGAGAGCATACGTACTTTGAAAAACTGTTGGACAGATAGTAGAGGTCGTCCGGTGCGTCCGACCAAGAGATGACGTGCTTGCGGCCCGTCCTCTGCATCGACGGTGTCCGGCCGCCGGCGTGCGGCCGGTTGCCCTGCGTCCTGCTGGCCGCCAGCGATCCGCCGGTGCCGCCGCCGCCGCCGTTGAGCAGCTGCTGTTGTTGTTGCTGCTGAGCGCCCGGCGGGGCACCGGGAACGGCGGCTCCCGGTTGAGCGGGACCGCCGCCGGCAGCACCCAGTTGTGCCAGCAGGGGGTTGCTGGACAAATGATTGATGGCCGCTGCGACGGCGGCTGCCGAGCTGGCCGGCACTCCGGCGCCGAAGAGTTGTTGAGCTGTCGGAGCCGGAGCGGTGCCCGGTCTCGGTACGTTGGCGTCGGCCGGCGAGGACGGCAGCAACGGCTGGGCAGGGTTGTTGGCCGACGGCCTGTGCATGCGTTTCGAAGGCGGTCCGGCTTGGGGCACAACGCCTTTGTAAAAAAAAAAAAATAAAGAAAACATTAATTTTGTAAATATGACATGTAAAAAAGAGCCAAATGGTAGGTACACGGTGTTGTGTGTGTCTAATGCGCGACAATGATATTCAAAAAATTAAAAAATATTTTTAAAAAAAAAATGTATCATAAAGTTATGTCAAAACTTCTACACATAAATTTCCAATACAAATGGATTAGATTTAAAAAAATTGTATTTTCAAACACCGTTCAACAATGTTACGATATATCACGGTAATTGTTAAATAGACGAATAAAATATATATATTTTAAACTCCCTAACAACAATGACTTTAATGTGAATCTCAAGAAATCATAAAATCCTAACGTAAATGTGAGTTTAAAAAAAATTACTAACGTTAACCCGAGAAGAAAATTACAAAGAATAATAAAATAAAACTGACGAACGATAAACATCACAGCAGATTTTTTTTGTCCCCAAAATCATAATCGTTTTTTTTTTCTATAAGCAAAACAACGCCATTTGAGAACAATAAATTAATGTATTATTTTATTTGTTTATAAATCCATCAAACATCATATCAGACTTGTACAATTTTTTTATACCAAAATAAAATTATACTACATTGTAAACATTGCCTACTACTCTCTATTGTAAAAATAAACCACCTAAGTGTACTAACTACACACAACTGATAGGGTCAACCCTAAACAACACTTAAAGGTGACGTCGAGTGGGTTTTAACCGTTTTCCTGTATATTATCAGAAATAGCGTTAATTTCTTCGGCCCGATAAATTGTTAAATTAGTTTTTAACGTTAGCTGTTTTCGTTTAATTTATACGACAAATATATATTTTAATTTTTTATTACTGTAAAATTTATTCTTATTATTATTATTTTCTAAACAAAACACAATCTAGTAGTATACTACTTAAGTTTATACTACAACAATATTTTAACAGTTTTATGTTTTATATTAATATAATAATAATACTATATTGTGTGGTTTAATACATATTTTAGACCTCTCTTTCTCGGACCACATAAAAACGGTACAATTATATATATATCGATACAGCCTTAACGGACGGGTTGAGAGTGAGAATGATTTGTGGAGGGAAATATTTGCTATAAAATCTAAGAAAACTTTACGTTTAAGATTAACATATCGGTATAATAATAATTTGTGGCCTAATTTTTGGTTTTTTTTTTTTTACCAATCAAAATGTGTTTTGAACTACAACAAGACGACGTATAGTGGTCGCATATTATGAAAACAATGTGAAAACTTTGAGAAAACACTGTCGAGTAAATCTCTAAATCTTAAAATTACCATTAGATTCTTCGTAATTGCGTCTCTTCGAACTGCTGTTGTTGCTGTACACGTCCGTGGTGGTGAACGGAGCGCCGGGCTGTTGTTGCTGTAACCACAACAAATGTCACCCGGTCAGTATAAATATCAAATTTATATTATAGTTCCATTCCCCCCCCCCCAAATAGGGGTTAATAATATAGTGTATGTAGTTACCAGTTGTTGTTGTTGAATTTGTAACAATTGTTCTTTGTTGGGCACTTTCTCGTACAGCAAGCTACCGTCTACGTGAAAAGTATTATTATTATAGTGAAAAAATGTGTAATTTTAATAAAACATATTATTATGTTCTGAAAAAATTTTTTTTTTTACTATATTTTACTATTATTATTATTATACTTGTGTAATAATAGAAGTAAAAAAAAAATAGTAAATATAAATTTTTTTTTTTTCTAAACACAACCATGTTGTTTGCGTACCTGGTCCTTTTGGCGGTTTCGGGAACGCTAAATGTTTATTCTGCTTGTGGCTCTGGCCGCCAATGCGCAGCCACTCGGGCACGGTCAGCTCTCGGTTCCGCGACGCCGCCAAAGCGTTGGCCACCAACGTCACGCCTTGTCTCACTCGGGTTCCGCTGCCCGCGGACAACGTCTTGACGTACGACTTGAGCTCGGCGTTGGTTTTGTTTTGCAACTGAAGTTGGCCTGTGTGTTGAACACCACACACGATTCAATTAAAACCACAATAAATACACAATACACATAATATATGCCAAATATTAAATGTTAATAAATATAAATGCAAATATTATATGTTAATTAATATAAAATAAATTATATTAATATAATTATTATATAAAGAGCACAATATCATCCTATTTGTGTGCACATTAACTACTCACATTCTTGTTTCACCGAGTGCGCGATCGGTATGGAAGAGAATGGGGATCGGGCCACGTGCCTGGGTCGCAACGCTCGCTGGGGATGAGCGTTGCCGGTGGTCACGCTTCCGGGTACCAGGTGCAAGGAACAAGCGCGCCTGGCCGCTTTGGCCAACGGCGTGGATCTCAGGTAGAAAGCGGTTCGCGTTTTCATCACTGGCCGTCCACTGCCGCCGCCGACACCTCCGCCGGCCGCCTGCTGTTGATTGAGAACGGCCGCCGCGGCGGCGACGGCAGCTGCGTTTTGGCCGCCGGGAGAAACCAAGTTCATGACTTGTTGTTGTTGTTGTTGTTGTTGTTGTTGTTGTTGCTGTTGTTGTTGTTGCTGTTGTTGTTGTTGCTGCTGCTGGTGCTGGTGCTGCTGAGAAAGATTCACTCCGCCGGAGCCGCCCAACAAATGGTTCTGCACTTGTTGTTGCAACGATTGTTGCGGCGGCCCTCCCTGTAACGGACCGCCGCCAGTAGTGTTCGGTCCGCCGGGCCCGGCCAAATCTCCGCCGTGGATGCCTATGCCGTGCGCTCCGCTGTAGTGGCGCAACAGCTGCGCTTTCACTTTGAACTCTTTGCCGCAACCCAGTATCGTGCATCTGTGCGGCGCCATGTACATTTGCTGTTGTATGGATTTCGAATTGTTACCGGGAACGCCGCCGACGCCACCGGCACCGCAACTTTTACTGTTCTGGTTGATCACCAACGACGTTGCCGAATGGTTTGACAGCGGCCTCTCTAAGGGTGGGGCAAAAACAAATAGAGCGGATCAAGTACATGTGAAACTTACATAATTGACAATGTTACACTAAATTATAAACGCATCATAGACAATGTAACCACCTTCGTCGCCGGACATGTTGCCGACATTTGTGATCGCTGCAGATTTCCTGTTCACGTTGTTGCTGCCACCACTGGTGGACTTGAGTCCGCCGTACTTTTTCCAATACGTCCAACAGTCGTGGCACAGAGATGCGGCGTTTGAAGCGTACACGTTGCCGCCGTTGCTCGACCAAGGATACCATTGTGTGGACATGGTAACTGTGTAAAATTATGAAGAAAAAAAAAATTAATTAATTGCACACAGTAAAAAGTAAGTTGAACGACAAGTACACATAGTAAATAAAGGTGGTTGGGCATGACCTCCGGCCGTACAGAAGTAGGGTCGTCATAGGAACACGGATATGTATTAATATATACACAAGTGTAGGACCCTGGTACTTTTCGGTATTCTACAATATCGAAAGTTTCATCACTAATCCGATTTCCTGACCTCCACCAGCATCCACCAGCTGGACCATCTTTTAACTCTATAATCTATTATCTCTAATATCTTGTATCTATTTTTTTTATCGTCTACATACACACTAAAGTTAGTTGATATAAAAATATTTGAAAAAAATGATTTTGAAACCTAATACTCCAATTAATTTTTGTTTCAATACATATATAATATAATATTATATAGTATTATTTATATTTTAATACATATACAGTATATTATACTATAGTGTAATACAGTATATAACACATACCGTCGCAAGAGTCGCAGCAGCCGGGAGTCAACACTCCGCCCGAGTTCTTTCCGGAGCCGCCGTACAGCTCTAGTGCGTTGGCATTGCCGTTGACCATTTGATTGTGATGAGCCGACGATTTGATCGCAGCGGGATTGGAGCCGGTAATTTGGTTTTTGTTGCCGCTGTTGTTACTGTAAACAGCGCAGAGGGTTTTTTTTTTATCCAACAACAAATGTGCAATTACCGTTATTTTTTTTTTTCCACTTACTAATTGGGTATGTACACTTGTTTTAATTTTGATTCTGCTTCGACGGCTTTGACGCGCTTCTGCTGCACGTACCTGTCGGTAGTCTTCCACATGTAATAGTACTCTACAATGTTCTTTTGCGTTTTCCACGGCAGCTGATCGGACGAAAAATTTTATATAAAAATAAATTAGATGCATGTCAATTAGTTGTTACATAAGATGAAAATTGTTGACACGTTAAACGTATGCATTTCGTCCTATATGTGTGTGTACTCACGAAATCATGGCGGATGTCGCTGAAATCCTTGCCATACTTTTCCAGCGCTTCTTCAAACAGATTGGCCTCGCTGGCCGACCATTCTTCCATTTCGTCGCGGCACAACACCGGGCCCGTGCTGGGCACCAGCGAACACGTGGCCGTTCCCAGGTCGTAGTTGTGCCTGTGCAACGTGTCCATGGCGTGGAACAGGGTGATGTCTCGGGAGGCGGCCGCCGCAGACATGTGCAAGCTGGGTTGTTTCACCGAACTGGAACAGTCCAGGGCGCGAGCAAACGTTCCCAGGGATCTGGGGGGGGGAATAAAAAATTATAATACCAACGGAACCATACTACTACTACTGCGGAGTAGTACTGCAGTACTGCAGAGTGTATTGACAAAAAATAAAACCACAGAAATTGTTTTGTACCTGGATATGACTAAAAACTGATCTATCTGACGGTCGGTCAATTGATGAGCCGAAGTCCACACTAGAGTTTCCAAGTCTGCGCTATCTCTGTCCTTGTTGTCTACTGCTTCGTCGACTATTCCCGGGACAATATACGTATTTTATTTGTCGTTATTAATAATAATTATATGCTATGAAAATTTTTTACCTCCATTGTTCTCGGAACCGTCTTCCGCCGCACTAGTGTTGTTGGTCAAAGCGGTTTTCGACGCAGTTTTCGGCGTCGGTAAACTCTCCGCTTGATATTTGTGACCGACGCGGATTTCACCTTTGTCGGCCAACAAGGTTTTTTGATTGGGATCGAACACCAAACAATAGAAAAAAGTGTCCTGAAAGGAAAAAGAAAATATATAATATACAACATATTGACGAATAAATCTAAACAGAAAAAATTAATACATAAATATTTTTTCAGTATTATTTAAATTTGAGTTGTGCAATTTGAAGGGAAAAAAATATCTTTCGAGATATAATAATCTAATCTGACCCTTTTAGGTTTCAATTCCATTTCGTTTTATTCGGCATGATTTGTTGTGCGATTGTAAAAAAAAACAAAAGTACCTCTCTATCCAAATAACTGTCAAACGCTTCGGTTTCGTTGTACAGCGTGACCGAACACTTTCCGCGGATGTGAGTCGCCGGCAGGGTTTCCACTTGTCTCGACAAGAACAGCTCTCTCTGTTTCAGTCTGTGCTGCACGGTCGGGTTGGGCGCGTCTTTTTTCTCATTGTTGCCGACGTCGTTTTCGATAGTGGTCGCCGCCGCCACCGGCCCTGCGGCGTCGATTTTGGTCTCTGTCTCGTTTTCGGCCGCCGACGATGAGCAATCCATCGCCGCCGCGGGAGACTCGTCGTTTTCAGCGGAATTGTTACTGCACTCTCTATCGGAGTTGGGTTGCGGCGGATGGTGTGTCGTGCTACCGCCGTCTTTCCCCGGTTTTATCGACATCACCGTGTTCTTTTTGATGCCTCTGCATTCGTCCGACGTGGAAGAGGCGGCTAAAAAGAACAAAAATTATTGTTATTATATCAATTGTTATATTATATTATTATCCCTTTTGACCGTATGAAATGTACGGGTTTGTAAATGAAATACTAATTATCTAGTTTTCCTCGTTTCATCGTACCGTTTTTTTTTTTTTCCACATTGCGACATACCCTCACCCCTCTTTATATGATAAAAAAAATTAGGCATATTACTATTTCCTCCCTCCCACTGACTACCCACTGTCTCGTAACTCCCTTAAAAAAAAAAACTAACCGTTCATTTGTTTTATTTCAACAGACAAAATAACATGTCCATACGTGATATAGTGTAAATTATATTATAAATATGATATTGTATGTGTGTATATATACACAGATGAAAAAACTAGTTAATTTGGTTATTAACCTTGCAAAAAGATTATTTGATAATAGGTATTATTTTTTTTTTAACGATGCAACCGTTAAAAAAAAGTGTAAATCGTAGGATCATAGAAGATGACCTACCTATTTAGATTGTTTTTTTTACACTGAACACATACTGTAAACGTTTAGCAAATTTGCACACCATGCATAATTATTTGTGTACTCGAAACTACTGTGTACCATACATCAGTACGTCTACATTACTCGTTGTTGGCTAAAGGTTTAATAAATTCAATCGCATTTTACAAAACGAATAGTGTTAGAGCCTCGACTAGTCAATTTCCACTCACCTTGTTGATGTTTGTCGGCCAACACGATCAGAGTGCTGGGCAGGTCGCGACGGCGGAAAAAGCACATCACTTTGGCCTCGACATTGCCGTTGGCGGTTTTGTTGAGCTCTTCGATACGCCTGATTTGAAACGGAGTCGAGTTGGACGTTTCAAAGTACACGTAATCTGTAAAAAAAAAAACAATGTCAAGGAGGGATCAGGGCAACAGTGTGATCGTTAGAGCGGTCAGACGGCATCGACGAGAATTCCGGCCGAAACGCCGCCAGTACCGATATGGTGGACATTTTTTCGGTACTGGGATTTCGGCCGGAATTCCACACGTCCGATGCGGTCCGAATGACTCTGGATAATTATGAAAAAAACTATGAAGTTAAGTGTTTACCTCCGACTCTGTACATGTTGGCGGCCATATATTATTATTATGTATAGCCGGACACACACACAGAAGACTTGAAAACTTGAGAACCGAAAATTGAGCGGTTTTTTTCAAATTTTCGCACGCCGCGGATTTTGGCAATTACTACTATACAAAAGGTAGGTAGGTGCGTGTACTTGGCCGAATTTTGAAAATACTTGTGGCGCGCGCGGTTAACGACACACACGGTTCACGGTTAACACGGTTAGGTAAGTATTAAATTTAAAAAAAAAAGTAATATATTTAAATTTTAATGATAAAAAACAAAGGCAATACAGTTATTCGTGTTGTTGTCGTTTTGTGTAAACGACCGGCGAGCGCGCGTGTACGCGGCAATGATGAAGACACCAGCAGCAGCAGCAGACGCCGTCGTCCGTTCCGGTGATGGTCCCGTCGGCGGCGGCGGCGGCGGCGTTGTTGTTGTTTATACAACACGCAAAGGCAGCGCGGCGGTTATCAACGTATCAGCGGCAGCGGCGGCCGCGGTATCAGCAGCGGTATCATCGTCGTCATCGTCATCATCACCATCGCGACGACGGACGGGGGGTGGTGGCGGCGGCGGCGGCGGCGTTTAACGGGGAGAGACGAACGGACGGACGGACGGGAGAGACGGAGAGAGCAAAAAAGAGTGTGCGAGAAAGAGAGAGACGCACACACACACGGACAACCAGAGACAAACGGCGTTCATCGACCACACGGCTGCGTCCCGGCGGTTACGGTCGTCGATGTCATAACAATGTTCTCGCGGACGCTTCGTCACGACGACGGTCGGCTGGCGGTAGAGGATAAAAAAAAACACACCGCTCGCCGACAACTGCAGTTGCGAAAAACTTTCAGTCAAACGCGGGTTTATCAATGATAATAATAATATCGCGGTACGAGTACCGCGAGTTACTTTGCTGCAGTATCACGATGCACACACACACACACTCACTCGGCGGTGTCTAAAATGTGTAGCGGATAAAAAAAAAAATAACAATAATAAACACGACGGCACTGCGGTCGGATCCGCCGATCGAACACGGACTGGGCACGGCAACGGCGTTTAAACACGTTGTTTGTTGTTGTATAGTGTGTGTGTGTGATTAGATGTATAGAGCCGACTACTAGTCGCTTAGCTATAGTACTATACACTATACGTATATGGCGATATGTCGGGGTGGAGGGGGGGCATACGCGCCGCCGTAATTGCTTTGGTTTTTTTTTTTATTGTACAGAGCGAGCGCCGGTCGCGCGCGCCGGCGGAGGGTGCGCGCAATCTCGCCGTGGCCCGGCGGCGGCGGTGGGAGAATGGCCGGCGGCCGCGTGGAGGGGCCCCGGATTTTCTTCTTTTTTTTCTCCCATTTTGTTTATGGAGGTAAACTACGTGGCGGCGACGGCGGCGGTGGCACGTCATGGAGGCAAAAAAACGTAAAATAATATTATGCCATTATCATTATCGCGTTATCCGCTACGCGGCGCGCGCACGTCCGACGCGACGCCTTTTTCTTAACCGGTCGGCGTTTTTTTTTCATTTGCCTTTTTAATTTATTCGTCTTAATTATCTCGATTCTTGGTTATTTTCACACACACACACACACTGCACGACTATACAATATTACTATGATGATGATAATTATTATATTTTTTGTTGCAAACGTACCGTAATGATGATAATCGGCCACATCACTAATTGTGTGTGTGCTACTGTAACATATAATATTATATCATTATATTTGGTATATTTTTGGAGAAAAAATTCCATCCTAATGTTGAATTTTTTTTTTATATTTGACGTCCCGGACCGTTGCCGGACAGAGGCGGCCGTCGTAGACAACGCGGTGGCCATGTTTTTTCTTAGAATAAACAAATTATTTGGCAAGAAGCGGCCGTGATCCGCATAATAATTATTTTGCTGTAAACGGGACAACGAGTAAAAATAGTCAATTTAATTATCACAAACATATTCTCATATATACATTAGATTACATGTATATTATATATTGTGTAAAAAATTGCCGTGCAAATGTTTTTTGACACTCGTTGATGAACGTTTTGATTACATTTTTACTACATTACATTGCAAAAATGTATCATCTCATTAGCGTTGAAATCGTTGCCGTTGACGGTCGACTGCGTTAATATAAAATGTGAATAATAATTAGTAAAATAAATATATGTAACAAAACCTACACAGAAAAATAGATAACAATTATTATTATAATGTAGGCCTCTCGCTAGTGTGTATAATATATTATAATAATTACAGCACACACACACACACACATGGTTATTTCGATAACGCTTTTTGCGAGAACCTTAGATAATGATAATTATAATGTATAATCGTCTGTGTGTATTATAATAATAATATCAAACATTAATGCATGTGTGAACTATATAACATAACTAAATCGATTAAACAATTATTATTATTATTATTATTGTCTGTATATATATATATATATATGTGTAAAATAATAACGTGATAACGCGCGTTTAATAATAAGCGTATAATACCATAATATTATCAATCCATTTTGTAGAAACGGCACTATACAATATATAGTGGACGTTTCAAAAATATTATACCTACCCAAAAGGTACTACCACCTATCACTATATAATAATATATATAAAAATTGTTTTTACCCACTGTAAAATAGGCGCGGGCACGACGAGTAAGGTATAGGTAAACACGGATTTTATTTTTTTCAGGATTACTGTTTAACAAAACATACAGAAAATGCTGACCTAACCCAACCGTTGCAGTGTTGCTGGGCTATTGTTATAGTGTTGTGTATCTCTGGCGACTGGCTGCCAAATTATCATTATTATTATTTTAGGTACTTGTGGTGCGTTCCCAGTAGAATAATATACGCATAGGAAAATATGTGATTTAACGTGATCCCAAATATATACATATAGCTAGCTGAGATAATATTGTTATGATGTTAATTTACAAGATCGGGGATTTACACTGCTGCTAAAAACTGTCGCCACTGTGATGTGACATGATGTGAATTAGACGTGCAACACAATATTATTATTAGCACAGTGTTGCAGTTTTGTGTGTATACCAACGTACACAATTATTCTGCTGCTCTTGACGAGAGAGAGTACCTAAATATATACAATACCTATATGTATACTATGTAGGTTAGGTGTACATAACAAAACACCACCGTGTGCCGCTGCTGCAGCTGAAAGAGGAGCGCGCACCCGGCCGTTGAAATCCGCGCGCGCGGGTAACCTACCTACCTACCTACCTACCCAATATTTTGGGGTGTGTGTGGGGATTAAAATCCGCTCTATTGTCATACGGGGTATAAGCTAGCCGCTACCTACCCCAAAAATATTATCACAAACGTCTCCTCGTTATTATCCACCGCTATACAATATAATATTATATATATATAGAAAAAAAAAATTACAAACGAATACATACAAAATACGTTTTTAGCGCGTTATTGTACAGGTATGCACACAGGTATATGAAATGTGTATTCGCTTGACCTTCAAAAAATATTGTTTGCTAAATCTACCAAACCGCGCGTAATACGGCGTTATTGTTTTTAAAATTCAACGCTCATATTTTCACACACACACACAATTTCAATTCAACATGACCTATAAATTATTGAGATATAATATATTAATTATAGCAAAGGGTCAAAACTTAAATTAGGTTGTCTGTAAAGGAACCCAACCTAACCTCCCCCCCCCCCACATGTGAAATAGTTACAAGTTTTCTCATTAAAAAAAAACTCAATTTTTCCTTGTAATTTTTTTACAACACTTTACGGCTGTACAAATATTATTGTCAATATGGGGGCGCTGGACAGCTCGCTTGCAAGACACAATAGTAATGATTTTTACCTTAAAAAAATTATAGTTGTTATAATACTAAAGTTACACGTAACAGGTGTTTGACCAAGTTTAATATTAGAAACATATACAAACATACATACATACATAATACAAACATTTTAACAATACCTACTAAAAAAATTAATTACATTTTTAATTCATTTATTTTATTCCATACTTTTTTTTGGTCATAACTCACATATTAAAATGTTTTTACAATAATAATAATAATAATATTCTTTCTCGCGTTCAAATAAATTACCCAACTGTATTATATACAAATATAAAATACGGTTATTACCGTGCTGTTTATTTCGCATTTTACTATATATTATACGATGATTATAATTTTATTTAATATATTCAAGAGAGAAAAAAATGTGTATATAGTTATATATTATACATATATATACCTATATAAGCGTTTGGAAATTTCCTTTTGAAAAGTCACACATTCCCATTGCTCGTTCCTTAAAAATAAATGTATGGCGTTCATGATTGCATTCCTCCAAAAAAAAAAAAAAGTAATGAAATTCAACGAATGTATTCTTTCCCAACATTGTGATGTACATTATATCTTCAAAATTCCGCATTGATCGTTAATTTGCAAAATCTTAGTCATAAAATGTAGAAAAAATATTATTTTAATTTAATCTACTTATGAGGGTATACTTACATACAAATATATATATATATATTATAGTGTACCGACGTTAATTATTAATTATCAACATAATATTATAATAATCTAACCGTACGATAGTTATCTCGAGAATTAAAGTATCTTAACATAATTACTGTGTATAATATTTTACCTAAAGTAGGTATATATATTTTTTTTATACAAGATTAATACGAAAAAAAAAAGGCATTTCTACCGAGATTCATTTAAATATATTATAATATTCTAATAAATGTATTGCTAATTTATTCCAAATATGTATATAGGTGTAATGCGACGAGAGCTTAGATTCTCCATCTCATTGGGACGTGTTAAACCACATAGCTATATAGTTGAAAATGTCAACCTAACCTAAAACGCACACGTGTGTGGTGTTTATATAGTTCGGTAGCAGCACATGCTTATTACATATTCAAACGTTTTCCAATCGACGATGGTCGCACACGATAAAACGACCATATTGAAAAAAAAAATATATATATATATATGTACATATTAAAAGTTTACACACAAGTGTTTGTTTTATACTTACTGCCGTCAGTAATAATGTTATTACCTACTTATTATTATTATTATTATTAATACTGTTGAGCAAAACATATAGGAGACAGACCAAAAAGCACGGACACATAAGTTGGAAAATTCAATCAACTTTAGTGTGTGTTTTTTGGATTTTTATTTCTAACGATACCCGCTCAATTAGTTATAACACTTATGTGTGACTATTATACTACTACAAAAATTGATTTGAAACGTAATCAGGTTAGAGGTACACACTTTGATGGAATATTTTTTTATGTATAAAATACGCAATTGAAAAATTCTTCTCGTCGAAACTTGGCAATACCTTTTATTATGAATTTGGCCTTTGAATCTCTGAGTAGGCACTATACAAAATGATGCTTTTACTTGTTGTCTTACGTATGTAGGTATTGTACACACATTAGCTGCTTTCCCCCCTGATTCACTAGATAATTAATTTTCTGGAAAAAAAAGGGGGAGGGACCCATAATATATGACCAGGGTCTACCCACCGTGTGAATATCGTTCAGGGACCGTCCCGGATCTATTCGAGTAGCTTCTTAGATGTATGTAATTCATTACCAACGGCATTATAATGCAATAGCATAATATGTATATTATATCCCATTAAATGTAAATTAATAATATATAAGTATACACCGTCAATGCGCGTTATTATTTTATCAATGCCCGCATCTCTCGTATTCGAGTGGGATTTCGTCAAATACATGTGTTTTTAATTGAATCAGCGGGCCCGGTTTAAAACTCATCAACAATTAAAACTCATCATCAACTCATAGATCCAATGTACATATATAGATAATACCCTAATGACGCGGTCCCTAGCGGTTATATTATCGCAAGTACAGGGCATTTACAGCGTTAGTTTTAATTTATTTTGTAAAATTAAATAACGGATAATACCGTGTGACCCATTGAACAGTTTAATTATATTTTTTTTTTTATTCTCTTATAACGTACAATCAAATATGGGTTTAGGCTGTGAAAACAATGCCGTAAAGCTGGCCGTGTAGGTACGTTTTACTCGCTTTGCCGTATTTACATTTTTTTGGAATATTCTACACGCGCAAAAATCGAAAAGCCAAACTGTTTTTTCAGAAAGAAAAAAAAAAAAATTTTGTTGACGTCACGAAAAAAAAAAATTAAAAATATAAAAGAACAAAATGAATAGGTAGGTATTGTACGGTGTAAAACTATAATAAACTAATCAATTGGTGATGATTTTAAGTTTTGTTTTTGTTAAACTCCAATAGCTCTTAAAGTAATGACTCAAAACGGGTTGTCGACCGGTCAACATGTTCAGCAAATTTTACTTTATAATTTTATAATATTAAAATAAACAAATCAAATTATGGTATATTTTTAACATTTAAGTTTCAAAAGGGCGTACCCTCTTTCGCGACCTCTGACTTTTGACTGAAAAAAAAAAATACAAAAACTTTAAATTATTATTGTTTGATAAAAATGATAAAAATATTTTAGTAAATCATCAAAAAATCAGGTGTAATATGAAATTCTCGAAGGTCTGTTCAATTCAAGGGAAGTCTTATTGGATAATAGTCTATGTGGATAAGACAAAAAAAATGTACATATTATGATTAGTACGATTTAGGCTAAAAGAATATGTCCTCTGCTACATTTGAATATCATGTTAATACGTCAAACAGCATCTCCTTGTTGTTCGTTTTACCACTTGTCTAGAATGTCAAGTATGAACAATGAACGGTTGGCGACACAATGACAAATGAACGGAGAAGCAAGTTCAACGAGGAACGGCTTCAGTAGGTACAGCTGGGGGCTTAGCACCGCAGTCACTTCTTCTTCTCTCTTCATTGCCGCAACAACATATCGTTGTCCCTCCCTCTCTATCTTTGGCACATTCTTCTGCGATGCCTACATTCAAAATGTTGAAGTCTTCCTGTATTCTATCTATCCATCTTTGTCCAGGCCGTCCGTCTAGGCCTCTTAGTGTTGGGTTTCCAATTATTCCTTCTGATCTCCATACGTGCACTTACAAAGGTACGGACAAAGTATGCGCAGTTGTGGTTGGGACACGTGACCAGAAGAGGAGCGAAGAAGAAACCACCTGTGACGCAGCTTAATAGCTATGGAATGGAAACCGAAAGGGAAGAGACCGGAGAATGAGAATGAGGCTAGAAGAGGATCTTAAAGCGCCGGGAGTGCAGCAAAAAGAATGGAAGGAAATCGTTCAAGATAGAGCAAGACTTGGGGAGGAATATGTAGTGATCTAGATAAGATCTCTACAAGATCAGTGATGGGCAAAGAATATTATCTATTATAGACGCTATAAATGCCAGTGGTGAAGAGGAGAAGAAGAAGAAGAAAGTGTAACACAATAGTATATATTTGTTTAAAAATACATGTATACACGTCATTGACATTATTACGGAAGCTATTATATTCCGTTTAGAGTTCCGGCCTGTTATGATCGTTGTCGGCCGGACACAATTGTGCCGCCTGGGTGCACATGGCGTAGACCATCCGGTCCGGGTTGCCGCCGGATTGCTGGAACGCAATGATGTCGTCCGCGATGTCGTCGACGATGTCGTCGCAATAGTATTTCAGGCTCTTGTTCAGGTCCGAGTCCGCCACGACGTCCACCTCGCTCATGAGCGGGTTCATGGCGCCGTTCAACAGCAGCGGCATCACGATCAGCGTGCCGTTGCTCTTGTGCGTGGCCCGCACGTAATCGTCGATCTTCGTGCACACGGTGTCCAACAGCTCGGACAGGTACACCTGCGAGCTGGCCATCGGCACCATCTTCTTGGGCCGGTCGCCGGCACCGTCCAGCCGGAAATTCGCCACCTGGACGAGCCGCGCCGGACTGACGGCCGATATGTTGCCCCGTACGTGTTCCACGAGCCGCGTGCACACTTGACACTTCAATTCGAGCGTGGTGAACGCCCGGGACGGCGCCGAGACGAGCGTCAGAGTCACGAGCAAACAATACCAATACCGCTGCTGCTGCTGCATCGAACGCATAATGCGGCGCTATGTGGTATGTGCAACAGAATAATGCGCTACGGAATGGCGAAGGACAACAAAATGACTTTGACTGGACGACGGGTGTAAAACAAATATCCAGTTGCTAGGCCGCCGCCGTCGACATACGTATCACAGGGATACCAACCGAAAATCCGGTGTTTTCGTCATGCGAATCTGGTGCACCCAAAATGGACTTGAAAAAAAAATAATCATAAAAAAAGGCACCCTTCAATGTACCTACCGACTAGATACAATCTGTGATTTATAGAGTGACCCTTATCTACCCATCAGTGACACACAAATTTAGTTTTTAAATTATAGTATACAAATATTATAAAGTTTACACAACAGAGTTAGATAGTTCTAGAGTGACTAGTGACATATTATTAGAAGCGTTTAAGCGGCGTTTTCAGCAATAATTATGCTGTATACCGCTGTAGTCCATAGTTAATAGCAATTGCTGGGTTTTGCGCGTAACAATAGATGAAACCTACCTCCTATTAGGCTGGCCAAAAGGTAAACGGTTAACTGTAATAATTAAACAGCGCGATTGCTGTTTGATTAGGTGTCATTAGAATTTAGATACTTTCTATGATTTGCCAACTACAATTATCGCATAACGGTGTTGACACGAGACCTCGTGGTATCGACATGTGAATAATTTCCCATATTTTGTAAACGCTAGCGAATTCATTAAGTACGGACTGTTATTTTTTGTTCAATTAACGAAATAATTAGATTTTAATATTGTTGTAATATTTTACATTTTCTGTTGAATCTGTTAATAAAAATAATTACTGTAATTTTATGGTTAAATTCCGTTAACCCGGTACCACTGGGGTTATTGAACCAAAAATAGCGTCATAAATCGCCATATTTACAATATAAGGAATAATATTCTTTTATTCATAACGTATATTTTGTAAATATTAAACGGTTACCACAATAACAATCAAGATGATATGCGATTATTTTATAAATACACATAATATTAGATTTTTTTGTTTTTTTTTTTACAACTCAAAATCAAAAATTAGTTAAACTTTATTGAGTAAAAATAATACACAATATTATTGTATAAAAAAATGTAAAACTTTAAGTAAACAACAATAATAATAAACCGCTAACCCCGTACGTTAACGGCGTGGTGATCACTTTCGTTAAAACAGTAGTTAAATGAATGTACACACAATCTAATCTAATTGTTAATTAATTTCTGTAAAAAAAAAAAACAACAAAAATTGGTCAATAATTAATTATCGAGTTATACATTTAACAGACTTAGTTTTTATTAAACAACTGAGAATAGTGTGATAGTAATAATTATAAAAACACAATGATTGTAACAAGTAATAAAATTAAAGTGTTATTGAAATAGGTTTTGAAACCTAAAGGGTGATGAGCACAGAAGAGCAGAAACATTGTATTTGAATCAGTTATTATTAATCGTCTCCTATACCACCCCATAATTTGTCAAAAATACTAATTTTAGCGCTCTTTGCAACGGCGTTGGCAAGCGACGAAACCGTAGGGCCTTTAATGTTTTCCTGGTGTACATCATCGTCATCATTGGATCGAGCATTGATGTTTTGTTCCGCTGAAGTCAATAATTGTCCTCGGACCACATCGTCGTTTGTCGTCGAACAGACTGCGGCGGCGCGGCGGCACTTTGACGACCGTCGTTGACAATTGTGGCCGACACTGTAATTGATTTTTCATCCGGAATAGCGACCGGTAGGTGCGCGTGTTCTCGTTGGACGTTACCGCAATCGAAAGCCGCCCAACTCAACACCGGTGGCGATTCGGGCGAATCAATTTGGGTGTCCAACTCGTACGGATCGATTACGTCGGCACCGGCTGCTTTTTCCGTTTCCGTTATTTCATTGGCTTTTTTCCGGCCGACATTGAACGTTTGTTCACATTTAATTCCAAGTGACGACGATTCGGGCGAATCGATTTGGGTGTCCAACTCGTACGGATCGACTACTACGTCGGCAGCTTTGTCGGTTTCCATTATTTCATTCGCTTCTTTCCGGCCGACATCGAAAGATTGTTCGATTATTGTAGTCTTTCGTTTTGCAGAATTAGTTTTTTTACAACTCAGCGATCTTTTAGCGCTTTTTGTTGCTTCGATATTATTTTTGTTAACGGTGCTATTACGGTTAACGACAGGCAACGATTGTTCAGTATTAGTAGTTTGCTGCTGTGATTGAATCCTCTTTTTTTTTTCATTCAGTATGCACACAAACTTTTCCAATAGTTGCTTCTCGTGTTGTTGTTTTTCTGTCGACATTGTATTCAACATATTCACCAACGTGGCGTTTTCTAAAAAAAAAATTAAAATTCCATATAACATAATATCATTTAACGTTATTTATTTCAAAAGTGAAAGGATTCGCTAATGAGAGAGAGTTTAATTTGATCTAGTCCTGTCGTGGTGTAGCACGTAGTATGTGCTGTTGTACACACACTATGGTCACAAAAAATTAATATTACACGACAGTCAGCCGCTTTTGGCAGCAAGTAAAAAAAAAACGTAAATTATTGTTAGATTTACATTTTTGTTTACCCGAACATAGTTGTCTGATTTCACTGCGGCGTTGGCGTATGTCAGTCTGTTGTTGATTTATCGTGACCAACATCTCGGCCAAATTATCCATACAACAACGAATAAACGAAACCTAACAAATTAAAAATTTTGGTTAAACTGCCGTCCGACACACGATATAGTTGGTTCGAAAAATATATTTATAATGATTACACTAGGTAGACGGTACCTTTTTCAGCAGTATAGGACCGTATCTCGCCAAACCAAACGGTTCCAATTTTTGTTTCCAGTAAAATTTCAGACTGCAGTTTGCCACTTCGGTCGCCGAGTGAACAAACACTTTTTGTTTCGTCTCGGCAGCAACGTTGTCACCGTCTTCTGGTTCCAGGCTCTTGAGGGCCATTAACAAATTACAATAATAGTTGGAAACATTTCCGTTTTTGCATTGGTTTTGTAGGTCTTGGATTGTCAGCTGAAAATTAATATAAACCTCAAGACAACCATTTACAAATGTATACAATTGACCGAGTATGAAATATGTCCATAACGCTATGATGCGACAATTTGAACATTTACAAGCCCTAGACCAGGGCTGGAATACAACGTTATATATTTCCGTTGTGAACATGTTACAATAACCAAACCGTTTACATGACAAATTCCATTATCATTGTGGCATAATAAAAAAAACATTTCACTAGGAAAGTCTGTGCAACGTAAATCCGGCAAATACGATTATCTTAACAACGCTGTTGCAAATGTGTCCGATGCGAATATAGATACAAACTAGTTTGACTCGAATTGTTCGGTCGACCATCGCATTTGCCGAATTTACATTGTGGACACGACGCTACGCCGTCGAGAAACGTTTTCAAGCTCTGATCTAGACTTGATCTACATGATTCATAAAGGGCTTACTTCACCCGTCCACGCTCGTCCTTCGGCTTCGTTGGCGCAATCCTCGATCGCCGTCAGACGTAACGCCACCGTGTCGTCTTGCAAAACGGTCCGGCCTTCGACGATGGCATCCTTCGTGGCGACGTCCACTTCCACTTTGAACACGACCGTCCTGACCGTGCCGGGCGTTTTCGGGCCGTCTTCCCGGTGGTACGCGACGGGCAGCGAACAGTACCGCATGCACCACTTTGTCGGCGCCGTCATCGAGCCACAATTTGTCCGGCGGCCAAAACCAGCATTCAATGGACTAGCATATGAGATTTTTTCTCTTTTAATATCTACCTATCTATCTCTACATGGTACACGGCCTGTCGAGCATGAGATTTCGAAAAAATATCGCCTGATCGCCGAGCGGCTAGCAGGGGACGTCGTCCGTCCACGGCTGTGATAACATTGATAACATTGATAAGCGGTGTAAGGGAGTTTCTGAGGTACAGTGTTGCCGCGGTCGCCGGACAAAAATTACCTGTGCGGCGGGCACGTCCGCGCCTCCGGCCACGGCCCCTGCCGAATAGATGACGTTGCACAATACCAGGCAGCTATGGGATGGAAAAAATATATTACATACATGTAACATAACAATAATAATAATAATAATAAAACTCGTAGTCCCGCATTATTATTTCATATTATATTTTGTTACACTAGTCTCCGCAACAACGGCGATATTATTAATTCATAATACTACCATATATTCTATTAAAACTAGTTTTTGTTGGTGCAAAATCGCCGCCGCCGTCGTCGTCGTCGCCCCGTCGATGTGATAACGTATAGCAGCCATATTTGTATATTGTGTGTAATGTGTGTGTGTGTGTAGCTTAGGCCGTCCGTCCGCCGCCGTCGTCGTCGCAGCCAGTCACAGCAGCAGCAGTGAGCAGCGCAGCTATAGCAAAAGTCGCCGTCTTTCAGTGTGCAATAATTATTTATTATTATTATATTTCATTGTATAGAATTCCCCAACGGTATCTGTGCGCGTCGTGTCCCCCAGCAGCAGCTGTTTGTTCGTCGGGATTAACGAAAATATTTTATTAAAGTAATAATTATTTGTTTTTCTTTTTGATTTCTCGTCACTTTTTGTTGTTTTTATCGTCGTGTACCTAACCTACCTACTTACATAGGTGGTATTTGGAGAACGACAAATTTGTTCAATCATTTTTTACACAATCACACACAGCAATCACATACACACGTACACACACACACACACACACACACAACTTGCCCGCCGTTCGGTGTGTCGAGTATAGGAAATAGGTAATAACAATAATAATTGAAAGTGATCTCTCTCTCTCTCTCTCTCGCCTTAGGTGTAAACCAGTTATCACACAGCCGACGTACGACGTTTCCGAATATATACAGATTTTAGCCGAATACACAATATTATAGTGGTAATACGCCCCGTCCGCCGCCGCCGCCGTCGTCGTCACCTTTGCCTATTTTTTGTGTGTAATATCAGCACACACACACACACCGCACACGGAAACCGACCGAAGAAGAAAACAATTACAAATTTGTAATATGAGTCCAGACTAGTGAGTAAAAAATTGCATATATTATTTTGTAATAATAGGTATCTAGGAGCTACGCAGTAGTAATATATTATTATTCGTACCAAACGTATAATATTGATAACGAGCGGCCATTGTCGTCTATTGTGTGTGTGTTTTTTTTTTGATAGTATATTTTTGTGCGTTTTGTAACGCACAACGGAATAAAAACAAAAGTCTCTTCTACCAACACTTACGCTATAATTAATAATAATAATAATAATAATAAACTTTTCCCGCCTTGATTTTGTTTTCAGCGATTACCTGTTCAAATTGCTTTTGATCGGCGACTCAGGCGTCGGTAAATCGTGTCTTCTCCTACGGTTTGCAGTGAGTATAAAATAGGAAAAAAATTGTACTATGCAACAATAAAAAAATAACCGCCTACTTACCGAGTACAATATAACAAAGTACACCTATAACGATTTAACGTGTGCTTTTTATGTTTATGCTCTAGGATGACACATACACCGACAGCTACATCAGCACCATCGGAGTAGATTTCGTTAGTATTTTCGTATTACATAATAATAATAATAATAACCGAGTTTTTTTGGCTATTCCATCGTTAATGATAATATTATTATGTTCCAGAAAATCCGTACGATTAGATTGGACAACAAAACTGTTAAGCTCCAAATAGTAAGCGCCAAGAAAAACCAAATATATCAAATAACATTATCGTGTAACGTGTATCGCTTTTTGTGTTTTCCCAGTGGGACACCGCCGGACAAGAACGGTTCAGGACCATTACGTCGTCGTACTACAGAGGCGCTCACGGCATCATTGTCGTTTACGACTGCACGGACATGGAGACGTTCACAAATCTCAAACAATGGCTCGAGGAAATATCTCGGTACGCGTGCGAGAACGTCAACAAATTACTGGTGGGCAACAAGTGCGATATGACCGACAAGCGGGCAGTCGAAGAAGCAACGGCCAAGGTAAGCAAAAACGACTTTACCTATCATATAGTTAATGTAAATATGAGATTGATGTATGATTATAATGTTTTTTTTTCGCACCCTTCCTAGGAATACGCTGATCATTTGAAAATACCGTTTTTGGAGACATCGGCCAAGAACGCCACAAACGTGGAATTGGCGTTTTTGACGATGGCCAGCGAGATTAAGAACCGGATAGGTCCCCAGGACGGCCAGTCCGTAGGTGGACCGGAAGCTGGCAAGGTGACAATAGATTCTTCAAACAAGAACGCCGAAACTCAAAGCGGATGTTGTTAAGTCGCGCGTCGTGGTGTACCAAAGAGGATGGATATTATTATTATTTTTTTTAATTTTTACAACTAAAGCCAAGCAAAAAAAAAAATTATTTATGTATGGAAAAGAAAAAAATACAAGCTATATAGAAAACCAGTTGTGGTCGCAAATTTATTATTATATTATATTATTATTTTATTTTAATTTTTTTTTTTCTCTCGTCTTTTAATAATTGTTGTGTACTATTTATATTCAACAATGAGTATTGTCATTATTTTTCAAAATGTTTTTTTTTTGATTTCATATTTATCATATCCCTCCTCGTCCACACTTTTAATGGATGAAAAAAAAAACAATATTATACTTATTTTTTATTTTCACTGTCCATTCCCCCCCCTCCCCCACTTTATACACCGGAGTAATAAAAAAAAAATGATATATATTTATATATATATATATATATGTACTATGCAACACTATACTCTATATATATTATTTAAATAATGTTTATATACACATATATTAATTTGTCCTTAGGAATTTTTTCTTTTTTTTTGTGTTACACTTGCATACGACATGTATACACGGTGTTAGTTAAAAATATTGTATGTAAGTACGTGTATGTATATACATATACATATATATATATATTTGTGTATTAAATTTTCAATTATTTGATATGTATTATTTAAATACAATTATTATACAAAAACATGCGTATTGCCGAATATAATAAAAGTCAAAAGCCGAGTTGTGTAATTTTGATTTGTCCTTTATAATGTAATAGCAATAGCTGTATATGTAAAATGTTGTACGAGTACTTAATCGTGTGATTGGTATAAATTTCGATGAAGGTCATGTGTGTGTGTGTGTTGCCAACGAGTGACTATACGGGTTTTAAAATGTATTCATAGTTTGTTGTCTATAATGAACAATATTGTATCATTTGCATATGTTATTTTTTAATTACTATTATATTTATAAAAAGAAAACCTCTAAAACAAACACCACTAAAACATTTTGAACCATCCTACACGTTGATAGTTATTTATTAATTTAGGTGTGATTAGTTTTTTAGTAAACCGTGTAACAAGTTTTTGAACGTCGCTGCTATACCGAAACTATATAACGGTGTCTAATCCGTGAATTGGTGAACCAGTGCCGAAGCACTTGCTGTATTTCTTAGCAATGTATTATTAATGTGTTATGTCAAACATGAATGGTGTTTGAGAAAAATAAATCTTGAACCGACCAAAAGCCTTTTAGGGAAAATTGCACATACATGCAACCTTAATGCTTTTCAATGTAAAGCCAAATTTGAATTTTTTCTATTAACTAAACCTGTTTGTTTAGCAACAACTACACAATATATTCTGTGTAAAAACTGTGTTTTTTTTTGATAATGAAGGCCTCTTATTTCTCATTGCACGTGTTACATGTGATCCTCCCATTCGAATGCAACGCCCAACGGAATAGATTTTATCTTATCTTTTAGAGAAAAAAAATTGCGCATCCACTCATTTTTAATATTACAAAAACCAAATGCAACACATTGAAAACCAACAGCCATAGTGGCTGTAATCTGGATTACCTACTTTCGAATATTCGCAATAAATAAATACTATTTTATTATGATATTACTAACAATGTTGAAAACTTTTCAAGTGATAATACCATATACTCGACCTAATCATCTAAACGGTCTTGGTAGAGTTGGGTACCTTACAGTGCCATATTTTGCAGAGTAATTAAGATAAATTTAAATTTGTTTTGTTGGTTCATGCGACTTCTCGGTTTGTACCATACAAATAACTAAAAAAATACCCACTTTTTGAGTTTGTTACAGTATTGATCTAGGCGTGTATGTACCTACTGCCCGTATCCATAACAATAAATATAATTATACATAATATTTTCATAGTTGTTAGTTGATAAACATTTTTTTGAGGATTTTGCAAGATCTCGGTGGTGCATTTACCCGTGGTACGGGATTCGTTAGGGCCGCGATTATTCGAGGAGTGATAATTTCCACTTGCGGTTTGATTGTCAGTGGAAATATACAATTATTATTATTATTATTATTATTGTGCGACAACGACAAACAATAATATGTAATGCTAATAACAATTAGTATTTTTTTAGAATAATATTATATGCTCCAATGGAAGGCAACGAGTTCAATAATTAGTAGGTAACGCCTTAATACAGTCACACTTTTTTAAGTATATTGTATATTTAATTTGCAGAGCACTTTTACTCAATTCGTTTGTTAGTCAGCACACAAAAGATATAACCGAAACATCAAATACACTTTATTTAAAAAATGTTCGTACCAATTAACTTGTTTATTTATTTTACTTGAATGTAGAAATCCCTCCTTAATGTATAAGTAGGTATGAATGTAAAAAAAAAACCTCAATAATCTCATAAAACTTGACACAATGTATACAGGTAACGCGTTTCTAGAGTTAGGGCTGTATACTAGACTTGCCCAAGAGTCAAGACACAAGTGAATACCATGTAAGCGCAAGACTGTGCGTTCACTTGAACAATACAAGCTAATACTATATCCAACAGCAATATAATATACGGTCCACTGATATAGATATAGATAAATATATTATATAGCCTAGAATTGATTTGCAATGAGTCATGCAAAACCCCACGTTGGCCACGTGTGTACAGTGATTGAACTTTGTTTTGCGCAGGTCGCGTTAAAACGCATTTTATTTTCCATAAGGCGGCGCATAATATAAGCGCAGTAGTAGGTACTAAAAAAAAAAAAAAAACACAACAGACGTATAATACCTTACACACAAAAAACATTGTACATTTATTATTAATTTTTTTTAAAAAAAACAATATACACACAGTATATATCTCTCAATATATATATATATATATATATATATATTCAATTATAGGGAACGATGGATTTTTACAAAATTTATTTCGGATGCAAACGTGGCCATTGATTTTACTTCACATTGTTAACACAATAAAAAAAAAAAAAAAAATAGTAATAATAATTAACGGTATCGATTCATGATGATAATATTGCAAAAGTGGCTTGTTTCAAATGTCCATTTATAAATTTAATATTATTACAATCATCATTTAATAATTATTATACATAATATATATATATATATATATATATATATATGATAATACTAAACTGTTTTTTTCTTTTATACACGAATTTAATTATAAAAGCGATATTAAAATATTTTTTTTTTTTTATTTACACCAAGTCAAACGTAACTTTATATTATAAATACATATTGTACGCGCTCTTATATTTATTTTATTTACACAATGCAAACTAGTAGAAAACGTTTAAAAAATATTGTTAAAAAAAAAAAAAAAAGTGGAAATTTCAATAAGATTATAAGGGGGTTCTTTTTTTTTATTAATATTTTCATTTTTTTTTTCAACACACAATTTTTTTCAAACATAATACATTATTATGTATATTATTATATCATTATTTTTACTTTTTTTTTTGTTTTTTTTTTATTATTAATTTTTTTACGATGATAAAGTACGATTTACAAAAGATAAAAATTACATATTATTATTATTATTAATATTATATTTTTTTTAAATATATATATATATTAATTTTTTTTTATTAGTCTTTGTTTACTCCTCGGTTGTTGTTGTTTTTGTTTTGCTGGGACTGGGCCTGCTGCCGGGCCTGTTGGGCGGCGGCCGCCAACAAGAACAACTGTTGTTGTTGATGCGGAGTGTTGAACGCGGCGGCCAGAGCCTCGAACGACTGCCGTTGCTGCAACATCTGACCGTACAGGTTGTTCAGATACTCTTGTTGTAACATCGCCGCGGTGGTGGACGCCGATATGTTCGACATGTTCTGATTCTGTCGACTGGCCGCTGCCGCCGCCTGTTGTTTTGTTCTACTCCTTTCGCGGTTGTTGCCGCCGCCACTGTTGGCCGGCTGGGCGGCCACGGCGCCCGCGCTGCGCTGCTGCAACTGTTGGCGGACCGTCAACGAGGGTTTGGCGGCCGTCGGGTTCGTGTAGATCTGTTGTCTCGACGACGCCGTCGTCGTCGCACCATGATTGAGAAGGTGATGGGAGGTGGTCACCGACGGGACGATGGTGATCTCCAAGTTGGATCCCACGTTATGATGATGGTGTTGCTGCTGCTGCTGCTGCTGGTTGTGCGATTGGTGGTGTTGTTGTTGTATCGATGGCGCGCGATTAGGCTTGTTCATCGCCAAGTCGATGGGTCCGGACGAGCTGACCGCCGCCGAGTTATGATGATGGGAGGTGGCGCTGCTGCCGCTGTTCCGGCGATGATTGCTCGTCAAATCGAGCACTTGACTCTGGTACGACCGGCCGCCGGAGGGACTGGCACCTCTGGCTCGGTTGGAGGAACTCGGTGCGGCCGACGAGTTCAACACCGCAACGGTTATGTTGTCGTTGTTCAACAGCCAATTGGTAGCCGCGTTCGAATCGGACATGGCACAATTACCACCGTTGGACAAGCGTTGGGGTAACGGTCGGTTTCTGCCGTAAGCCGTGTTGGAAACGGATCCGTTGTTGTTTTCTTGGATTTGTTCTTTGAGCGAATCGATGGCCTGGTTGATTTTTCTGTGCAACTGCATGGTCCTGTTGTCGCCTCCACCGCCGCCCACGTTCGATGAGGGAGTGATGGACGTTTCCGATGGCAACGTCGGACACTCTACGTTGGCCGCCGGGTTCTTTTTCTTCATCGGCCCGGTCACGGTATTGTTGTTGCCGCCAGAGGTCGTAGAAAAGTTAACGGGCGAATTGCCGCTGTCCGGCTTGTTCAGAATGCAAACCACGTCCGGCGTGACGGTAATGATGTTGACTTCGTCGTCTTCGTTGTCGTTGTCTTCGCCGTCGAACGTACAGTTGCTACTGCTGTTGCTGTACCGTCGCCGGACGCCGCTGTTGGACGAACGGCCGCCGGCTTCCGGGTTGTTGTGCACCACTATGGGCGTCACTTCCAGGCCGCCTTGTCTCAGCGCGTCCACCAAGTCCAGTTGCTCTCTGGAGGCGGACGACATGTGCTCGGCTATTGTCGACGACGAAGAGTAGTGGTGAGACTTCTGTTGTTGATGGCCGTGTTGCTGCAAGAACCGTTGTTGGTACTGTTGTTGTATCAGTTGACTCTGTATCTGATACTGGTGCTGGTACTGTTGCTGAATGATTTGCTGAGGGTGTTGCAGTTTCCGTCGTTTACTACTGCTGGGTGCGGGTTTCGGCACTGGTATCGCTGCCACTCCGTTCAACTTCTGTTCAATGTACTGAAGGTTTTTGGCATGGCTGCTAGCCGCAGCGGCCAACTGTGCAGCCGTGTTGGTTTTCTTGGTTTGCACAGTCGTGGAACCGTTGGCTCCGTTCGAACTGCCCGACGGTCTTCCTCTCTGCGTTTTGGACAAACAACAACGTAAGATTAATACGATCAACAAGAGCAAGTAAATTATAGTCAAGAGGAGTTGTCGGGTAATTTTCAAGTGTAAGCCTTGTGTAAAAGGATGCGGTTAAAATGTTATATATATATATATAATTCCTGGAGAGCCGTAGAGTATCGTTGAAAGATAAGCGTTAAGATGGCCAATGGGAATAGCCAAGAGGAGTGACTGGAGTAGATAGAAATAAGGTAGAGTAAAACAAAGAGAGATATCAAGACTAGGAGCAAGGAAAATTATTGGTTGATTGGTTTAAGTCAATTTCAATGAATTAGTTTGACTGAAATTCTATGCCGTGTACCAAAATTTCATTAGTTTTTTACAGGCATAAAAAAACCCAGTCACAATGAACAAATTGATTTAATAATAATTGAAATTTAAAAATTAAATTAAATGAAGAGAAAATAAAAGTAGCCAAAAAAATGTACAAATGCCTCCTCCGTTTTGGTTACCTTAACACCGCTGAAACGACTTTCCGATCCAGTCGACGATTCCGAACCCTCTACGTGTGACTCGTCATCGTCGTCCGAGTCGTCCGATGACAGTTGGGCTGCGGCGGCAGCTGCTGCAGCAGCAGCCGATGAGGCGGCCATGGCTTTCACACGGTTCCACCGGAACGACGGGCCTTTCAACTTGGGAGCTACCGAGTAAATACAAAATTATTATAGACAAATAGCTTATAGCGAGTAACTTAATATAAGTATATAAGTTTACCTAGATGATTACAAAGCATTTCGTGTGTTTCCAGTTCGGGGTAATCGAAAGTGTCGCGGCAAAACAACACTCTTTTTATGTTTCTATCGACAGGAATACATTTGTTGCCGCGATGCTCCTCCTGTTTGTCGTCGGACGCACCGTCGTCGACGTAGAAATCGTCTCCGCCCAGGGAGTTGACGATCAATCGGTTTTTCAGCGACGAAAACACCGTGTTGCCGCTAGTGTTGTCCGTTTCCTTTGCGTTCTCATCGGGTACGAGTATTTCTTCGAGACGCTTAAGCATGGCACGGTAACGGCAGTACCTCGAGTAGCTCATGACTACAAGATCTTCGGACGTCGAACAGTTGGCAACTGAGAGATCTGTAAAAGTACATAGAAGAAAATTATACAAACGGGTTTCAAGAAAAATGGGAAATTGTTATACACAAGCACAAGTCTGATTTAAAAACTAACTAAAAAAAAAAAAAATTTGCAATAGCTGCAACATTTTAATAACGATTAATAATTTAACCGTTTTATTATTTTGGACCGAGTCGACGGTTTGTGTTGTACGTTTTACACAAAATATTATATATATATATATAATGAATAAAGCTATATTCTACGGCTTTCCACATCAAAGCGATACACAATTGTTGTTTTTGGCTAGTGTCCAAAACCCATTAATACGCTTCACTTTTTTTTTTTTCAAACCATAGATTTGGGATAAACAATATACTATAATAATATACTAAGATGTTGTTCTTGGTCATTTTTAGACTAGTAACAAGTCTGCAGTAAATGAAATGTAAAAAATATTGCGATAATTTTAATATTACATTTTAATTTACAACGTTAACATACGTTAGGTTAGATAATGATTTTTCACTTAAATAAAACAAATTTTTTTTTTTTTTTACATTAAGATATTTATTTGTTGACAAACTCACATCGAGTGTCATAATGTTGTAACAACGTGAAATGCTCAACATTCAATCACGATACCGAAAACCAATAGCGATATAGTTATTTGTAATTAAAGAAAAAAAATGAAAAAACTCAGTAAATTATTGCTTTGCAAATTTTAATTTGTTCACCGTGAACATATTAATATAATACAATATATAACTAGATAAACTTGTTAATCTAGAAATGGTAATTTAATTACCATTAAGATAGAATATATATGTTTTTATTTTTTTTTTTTTTCTGAAGTTGTCGTTAAATAAACCGCATAGAGCTATTTTAAAATTCTCATAAAATGTGTACACAATTTTGAAATCGACAAATATTTAAAAAAAAAAAAAAATAATTTTAACTGAAGAAGAGAACAAACAAAACTATGATTTTGTTAATATATATTCAAATTTGCATCGCCCAACAGGTTTAGGTTTGATTGTGTAATTATTGTAAACCAACCTGATTTTGGATCGTTAAGTTTGATTTGGACATGAATAAATAGGACTAATTTCCAATGGTGGCAAGTATAACTGAGATATATATATATATATATATATATATAGGTGGTATATTATTTTTAGAAGGTCAAAATATGTAAACATATATATATATATATACACAATGACTATTTATATTTGATACTACGATAAACTTTGATATTAAACGTAACGAGGGCACGGACAATGTGTTGAAAATGACATTTGAACTCTGCCATATAATATTATATATTATATTATTGTACTAGTATTATACATAAGTAATAATAATATCAACTAATAAAACATTAAGTTAGTCTAGTAATAATAACAGCAGTAGTAGTAGTAGTAGTAGTAGTAGTAACAACACATTGTAAATATTATTCCAACAATTTGGCCACAACTGTTTTGTCGAACAAAACGGTTTCATCGTTATTAAAATACGTGAAGTGTGAACGGAACATGATATTGTCGAAATTGAAGAAATTTATTTTTTCAATTTAACTTTGACAGTGATTTTTGATTAGGTTAGGTTAGGTTAAAAAATGATAACGTCGTGCACATTAAAAGTAGTATCTATTGTTTTTTTTTATCGCTCGGAAAAAATTATTATGTGGGTTATGAATACGAAGTTATTAAGAGCACACGATTGAATTTATATTGCCGTATTTATCATCACACAATAGCCGTGTCATTATGTTTATCAACAACAATTTTGTGTTTGTAAATGACTAACAGATAGTAGACGCAACAGCGTTGACACAATAATAAAGATAGATGGTATACTTTGCGATTTATAGTAATTAATTTTAATTTCAACGACGGTACGTACAATATCGTTATGTCGTATTAATATTATTATTTTTTGTTTTTTTTTACTATCAATTTTATAATCTTAACACAAAGCCAGGGAAAAGTGTAATTTAATTTGGAATCATTCAAATCTAATTTAGTTTCTACGAATAAAGTACAAAAAGTGTACCAGTAAAACGGAATCACCTAAAATCAAGTACTACCAAATACATTTTTAACTAACCCCAATTGATGGGCAAAATATATACATGTTTGTATTAAAAAAATATTAAAAATATACACAAAATGAAAATCATGTGAAAATTTATCCTTTTGACCTTTGTTTGGTTTGATTTTAATTTGTTCGGCCTATATGGTAGGAGTAAGTATCGCAAGCAATTAAGTACTTGGTCAAATAACAAAGGTGAAAAAGGGGCAGACAAAGAAATATCTAAAAAAAGACTAATTAATTAGATAAAAAAAAAAAAATTATAGTTAAACGAAAAACAAACGAAAATAGATAACAATAATGATTTACACAATTCTACAAGAATTTATAGCTGAAGTTTATCGCTGGATTAACGAAATATTAGATAATATTTATTATTTTATTATCTTATCTAAAAAAAAAAAAAAATAATAATTAATAATTTCTAGTCAGTAGAAAATTCTTGTCTTTTAAAAAATAACTTGAATTTCAAATGATTATAATTAAACAAAAACAGACGTTTAAAAAAAATGTAATCCCGGATTTTTATATTTAATAAACATTAAGATTGAAAAAAAAAAAAAATGTTTTATAAATCTGTTTTTTTAATTATACAAGTTTGACATTGAATACCAAAAAACCTGATTTCCACCTTTTTTTTCTCCCAATAATACAGATTTAAAAATAATGAGTAATATTTGCCTAAAAAAAAAACCATTGTAAAATTATAATAAAATTTTGAGCTCCTATAAAAATACACAATTTTATTCTTTCCATTTAATTATTTGTTAGAGGTCAAACAACTCGTATAAAATTCTACGTCAATAATATTTGAACAAAAAATGACCCACATTTAGTGTGAATGTTTATTTAAATAACAGTAATAATTTTTTGTTCTCGATTTTAAAATTTTAACAAAACTTTTCGCTATGTAATTTTCATAATTAAAATATACAAATGAGCAGCCCCATAATAGTTTTTATCTTTAATCGGCTTTGTAACGTTAAAATGATAAACTACTTTATTTTGTAAAACTCGGCAACTGTTTTGAAAATACTATTTAGGTATAGTTTCGACTTACCATTATTTGACGCCTGAGTAGTCGACGACGAATCGTTTTGTTGTTTGTTATTGGAATTTCCAATCGGAGCATCGTAATTCAACACGTCGGTGTAGTTAATGGCGCAAGCCAGCAGAGGTATTATTTGTTGATTGTCTGGCGAGATCCCTTCATTGGATTCCCGTCGATCAGTCTCTACATCGGTTTCAGTCTTGATCATAGTAGTGGCTTGTTTGCATTCATCGTCTACTTCAGATGGAAAGGCGGCCTCCTTTTTTACATTATCGTCGAGGTCCTCTTGTTTCACCGAACGACAGCCGTTTGATGGAATGTTGTATGCATTTGTCATCGGCGCAGAGCTTTCGCCGATGTCGTTGTTTGTGGCGCCGCGAATCCACGCGACCATATCCTTGGCTCTCAGCACTATTCTGTCTGTAATCTCCAACACTTCGTCCTACGTTCAAACACAAAACAAATGACGATATTAAAGAGTTTGAATATATATTGAAAAAATACGCATTTTAATCTATACTAACCTCTCCGTGGGTACTGTTTCTACCCATGGGCGTTTGATCGGGCACAATGTAAAGCCTAAGGCTGGCCAATTGTTCAGCGTGATAGTTACTAGGCAGACGACCGTTGACCGAGGCGGACGTCGAACATCCTCTCTTGTTGGTGCCGCCTTCGTTGGAGGAAGACGACGAATCGTCTCCGTATTCGTCGCCGTCCTTGGCGGCGTCGTCCTGCCACAGTAGCTCCAGCTCGCCAATGCAGATCGTATCGGAATCGCTCCACGGCCGTACGGCGTAAAACCTGTTCAACAGCACAGTGTTCCAAGGTGAAGAAGAAGAATCGCCGTTCGACTCGGCGTCTTCTTTAGTTTTCGTCGTCTTGTATCTCATGGCTTTGTAGAACGTGCACGAGCCGTGTTTGGCCAAAGGTTCGCCGAGCAGTTCCACGCAAACGCCGTCCGAAGGGTCGTCGCCAGCTTCGGCGTTACCGCCGTCGATAAACATAGTCGTCGAAGACATGATCGCCAGTGTTTGGACGACAGTATTAATGTTTGATCGAACGTTCCATCACTATCGACACGAACAAAAACAAAATACAAATAGAACAACAAAGATTTAAATATTAAGTACAAGTAGTCTGTGTGTGTGTGTGTGTGTTTGTGTGTGGGAGGAAATGGATGAAAATGTTGTTTACCTTTATGTGCAATTTTTTGGCTCTCTCCGACCGTTGTTGTTATTGTTGTTTTGTAGAATATTATAAAATATGGTTTTCGCTTATAATTACAATATAATTAATACTGGTAGTGTAGCTGCCTTTTGGTTTTTTTTAATAACAACAACAACAAACAACAATAACGATTGATAATATATGTAAATTTATTATGTCCACTACAACGGCGGCGGCGGCGGCGTTTGATTAATAACAAAACGATTGGTTTTGTGATTTACATGGCACGGCGGCAATATTCCCATGGCGCACGCCCGAAACACACGGTAGGTGTAGTGCTGTCCCGAGTTTTCCGGGAATATTTAATTAGTAAATAATAATAATAAAATGACAAATTCGATTATAATTATTATTACGGATCGACGGTGGCGGCGGCGGCGGCGGGAAACTAGCGACGACGTTAACCGAAAAAACATTGTACTATTATTATTATGATTATTATTATTTTTTCTACGTTACGTTACGAATCGCTCGTACGACGACGACGACGACGACGCTCGTCGAACAACAACAATTAACGTTAACAATTAATAATTAATTAGAAATTAGAAATATTATATGTTAAACGAACGACGGCGGCGGCGGCGGCGACAATAATTAAAAACGAAACGCATAATTATTATTATTATTATTATTACTTATTCGAGTTGGTTAGTTATTTATTTGTTATTATTATTATTATTGATGAAAACGCTCAACGATGATGATGATGATAATCGATCGACGGCGGCGGCGGCGGCGGCGGCTGTGGCGTTTGCCTAAACACGAATAGAAAATAATATTATTTTCTTAATAGCATCGTCGCCGCCGTCCCCCCAATCGTTATCTCTCTCTCTCTCTTTTTTCCCCCTCGCTCCGCCCCCTCGCACTCGCTCCCCCGTAAAAACGGAATAATAATAATAATAATAATAATACCAATAAAATGTACCTCCAAACGCGCAAGCACACACACACACACACACAACCAAACGCGCTGCACACGCTGCACTAAAATTGATCACACATTGCGCACGAACACAAATGGGGAAAAAAAAATTGTAGAATTTATTCGGAAAAAAAAAAACGTATTATGATGTTTTTTTTTTTTTAAAAATTGTTTTGAAAAATAATTATCACAAGAATTTCGACGAAATTTTCGCTTGGCGTCATCTAATAAACAATAACGATTTTTGTTATGATAAACACCGAAAAAACATAATAATAATATGTACGTATAATATTATAATATATACCAATACCGCCGAATAGGCGATATATAATAATTTATCATAATTATATATATTATATTTTGTACGCCTCGTGTGCGAGTGCGCGCGCGCCCAATGAAATTTCTCCGTTTCTCCCTACCTAGACCGGATTTTTTTCGAAAAATACTTATTATATCGTATAGCCGAGAGCTCGACCCGAAAATCACAGAATATTATCGGCTGATATATAATATACAAAAATAATAATACTTGTTGGTCGATAAAACTACAACAATATTACCATAAAAATTATAATATACCGGGTGATGTTTTTCAACATAATAACATATTTTCAATTTTTTTTTAATCTTTTTTGTTTAATTCCTTTTTTCTTCTGCGACTTCCTTACTTAGCCGGTCGATCGCGGTAAATAATACCTCTCTCTAATAATTACAAATTTAATTACCGCGATAATAAGAATTGTTTAATATTTATACAATATATATATATATAGAATATTATTTAATTATTAGCGTGTACAGCCGCTGCGGTCTGCGGCATCCGCGGTTTAGTGAGCAGCGTGCGAGCGAGAGAGAATTCAATTCCGGGAGCGAGACGCAAACGGACGGGGTGGGAGGGGGTGAGGGGGTGAGGGTGAGGAGGAGGAGGAGGAGGTACGCGCGATCGGAGAGCCGTTTTACGACGCATCCTCGACGGTACCAACTTGCCGAGGCTCGAGCCCTTGCCCATTAAAATAAAAATCTCTTCGATCCTCCGGCGGCGGCGGCGGCGGCGGTGACGGCCGCCGCCGCCACCGCCTCACCGCGCCTTCACCACCCGCCGCCGCCGCCGCGGTCCGCAGAAAATTGAATAATATACGGCACACGGGACGCCCGGACAGTGTTGCCAACCGTCGTTGTCGGCGGCGGTCGTCTTTATCCTCTAATAACACATTACACACACACACACACACACACACACACACATTCACCACGGCAGCAGCGGCAGTGAGCAGGCAGCAGCTAACCCTAAGCGCCTAGTCCGCGGTAGTAGTGTGTACTTGGCGATTACGTGCGCGACAACGTCGACGACGACACCGACGACGACGACGACGACGACGACGACGGCGGCGGCGGCTGCGGCGGCATTTTTCTTTTTCGCGGTAATCACGGAAGATAATTGAAAAAAAAAAAAAAAAGAAGAAAAAAGTCATTTAAATTCGTTCGCTTTTTCCTGGTTTTTATTTTTGTTTTCGTTACACGTACGGCGTGTCCGTCTGTTATCTGTGTATTCATTATACGCGCGTCACCGGTTATTCCGTCCGACAAACACACACACACGATAATAATTAGTGTAACCGATAATTATTATTATTATTATTACAACGGTGTGTGTGTGTGTGTGTGTTAACAATAATTTTATTATTAGCAGGTGCCCGCCTATCGTTGTGTTGTACACTGTGTAAATAATACCGTGCGGCGTCCACCGTTGATACCCGGCAACGGCGGCGGCGGCGGCGGCGGCTAGGTAGTGTGTTGCCCGCGCGTTGATGATAAACACCGACCGTCGTTGAACAGCCGGCGAGCTTGGAAGGGCTAGTAGGGCCGCCAACGCGATTTGGATGTAGCGCGGCTCCGTTGGGCCGACCATGAAGACGACCGGCCGTTTGAGTGGCAGCGAAGCTGCTCGTTTCACGGACCGATACGCCACCGATGACACCTGTCTGCACCGTCTGTACCTACGGTGGCTGCGATAGTATCTGCGATAGCGCCGTGTCGCCCAACACCGATGACTACTGCACATCGTCGATGCGCTTACGTTATTTGCAGCGAAACAATGCTCGGTCGGTCCACTCGAATACGTCAGATTTAAGTTGTGTTTTCAGTATTTCGTCCGTTGTACATAAGCAATAAGATAAAAGAATCCAATCTGTCGAGTAGATTTCATCATGCGACAGGGTCGCGGAGGACAGCGCAGTAAGAAATGTAAGTCTACGTAGATGTAGTTATTTTTTTTTTATTATCAACAGGTATAATTCACGACAAATGTAAACAAAAACAAATTGGTGCAACGGCGAGTCTAATAATTATATTTTGAATTTTTTTGCCCCAGGCTGTAGTAGGCGTGTTGCCTCTTCGATAGCTCTGCCGGCCACTGTTGGAGGCGGAGGTCTTGGCGGGCCGGGTGGCCCAGGAGGTCCGGGAGGCGAAGATCCTTCTGCTGCAGCTGCAGCGGCGGCCGCGGCAGCAGCAGCTGCAGCCGCAGCATCTTGGAAAGGACAAAATGACGGCTCTGGTTTCCCCGGTGGCGTAGGTCCAGGAGGCCCGATGGGTTATGGACCGGGAGGACCCGGAGGCCCTTATCAACATCCGTCGGGTCACCAGTCGCCGTTCCAACAGCAACAAGGCTCCCCGGCAGGCTCAACCGGAGGCGGGGGTGGCCCGTATTCCGGAAATACCACTCCCCAACACCCACACCAAGGCGGCTACAACGCCAGTCCGGCGCCCTCGGGCGGCTCTTCAACCCCAGGACCTGGGTTCGGCGTCGGGGGACCCGGAACGCCCAACAACGGGAGTGCGGGAGGAGGTCCACCGTTCAACAGCAATAACGGTGGTCCTACGTCGGCCGGAGTTCCGTTCGGCTCTCCTTCGTCCGTCGGTTCGGGTCCGGGCAGTGGCCAACAATTTGGCAACAGCGGACCGGGCAGTCGACCGGGATCTGGCCCGCCACCGGGGACGTTTAACAGTAGTAATCCGCATTTCGGCGGAGGCAATCCAGGGTACGGAGGTCAAGGCATGCCTCCTTCGGCTGGATCCCCTTTTAGCGGAGTACCTCCCCCTCATCACATGAGCGGCCCCGGCGGCCCTATGACCAACCATTCTGGAGGAATGATGGGATCTGGTCCTGGCGGACCGGACGGACGTGGCCTCGTAGACCATCCTTCGTAAGTAGAACATTTTCAAAAAATAAAATAAAATATTACAAAAAGTACTAAAAAAAAATTCTATTATACTTTTATGATATAATAATTAATATAAAGAAAAAAATTGTTTCAATGACGACGTAAATATGTCGTAATATATAAATGTATGTATATTAAAAAAATTTGGTACATTTATATATTCAACAACAAAACCAATCGGTTACCAATTATTTGGTTTTCACTTTAGCACTTAAATTATACTTATTAATTGAAACTAATTAAAATACAAATATGTGAAATAACGAAACCAATCATATTAGCTAATACAAAATTACTATTACTAGGGCTAAATAAGAAACTCTTATAAATAAATTTATATAAACTGTAAAGCTACTCGTGTAAACATATCTATCGTGTAGAAAGATTGTTATTACTAATTTTAAACGAGTTGAGCATAGTATAGATATTTTGTCTTATGTCAAGTTCTACGCCTATTGAATGTAAAATATCCTAATAAAAAAAAAATCACTAGACAAAAACTAAAAATTGATATTATTTAAACAATTTACAGGTTACTGATAGTATTGTGCTTCGGTCCATTAGCGATAATTAATATATTGATAAGAATCTTTATAATGTGTATTATGATGTAAAAGAATCTCACTTTTTTGATAAATTGTTGTCCCAATAGTAGTAGTGACCGTCTTCGTCGTAAGCTAAGATTAATGTTGTAGATAAATTTCATTTAGTTTGAACTGCAAAAATTTTGCTCAAAAACAAAATTTTAATACGTACAAAAGAGATATAAATCCACAACGCGCATTGTCTGAGCGTCGAATCTATTTGTCTTTTCAACACACTAAACAATGTCACTTTTAACAATTAATTTGGTTTTTTCTACAAGGTCAGTTGGACAAATTGTGTATCTATTAACTTTTGAAAGAAAATGGGAGATTATTCTGAGAGGGAAGGTCTTCGCTTTAGGCATAAGTTAAAACGGATGTATATTTTATACAGATGTATATTTTTTTTATAATTTTTGTTACAGAAGTATAAAAATTGTGATATTGTTTAATTACATGACTACTTAACAAGTACTTGACAATTTGACCGACCCTGACAGAAGAATAGGCTAAATCAATATTGATGGTTATTAAATGAGTGTTAATCAATTTTTTTTTTTTTTTTTTACTACTCTATTAATTGAAACAAATGTCTCGATAAGTAGTCGAAATTGGAATTATCATATGAAATTATAGTTGAAAAAATCTCAAAAAAGTTGCGCTAGGAGACAATTTTTTTTTTTCACCTAAAAACAAAATCACGATATTTCTGTTGCGAAAAATTATAAAAATACATTGTACATACATATATACAGATGCATTTCAAAGTGATTGTTTACAAAATTTGATTGGAATCGAGTTTTTTTATTGAACAAAAATTATTTCAAATGTCGCCTTTTTTTTGTTGAAATTTTACTGCCTTCGACAAATAAAAATTGGTAGTTTCTCTTTTAGGTAACATCATATTTTAGGTATAAATTATAACACATATAAAATTTAATATTTTTAGGTAGGTATTATTTATTATTGTCATTATTCGTGAATGGTTGATATTTCCTTCTTTTTGTATGACAATTGCCGCCCTTCAAACCAGCGGGTTTGGGTTGTTTTTTATTGTGGACAATTTTTTTTTTTTTTTTGCTGTACACCGGCGGCGGACGCCGTCCGGTCGATTTCTGGGCGAGTGCATTCGGTGTCGTCGTTGTGCACCGGCGGCGGCGGCGGCAGGTAAACCCGTAGGTACAACACCTATGGCCGGTACCTATATAGAGATAGATATTATTGTAGTCGGGGCCGGTAGGTACCTCTATATAGGTGTATGTATATTATACAGATATGCGATTTTTGCATAACCATGTGCCGCATACCGGTTGTGCGGTTGACGGCGGCGGTGAGTGAGAGAGAGAGAGAGATAGAGGGAGGGAGGGAACGGTAGGGGTGATGAGAAAGCGGGGGCGGGACGTGTTGTATGCCGGCCGGCGGAGGGCGAGGGACGATCGATTTTACATTTATATTATATTTTTGCCCTTCCTCCTTTTTATCGTGTAAAACGCGCGCGCCGTTGGCAACGCGCGACCGGGCCCGGTTTTTACGTTGGCAACACCGTTGGTCGCGGGCGCGCGGCATCCGTATAGAGAGCGATTACATAACGTGTACTATTATATTATACATATATATATATATGTATGTATTCAATATACACAGTATACGTATGTACATATATATATATACTGGTCGGGCTCCACTGTGGCGTTTAGCGGCCACACCGACGCACGCACCGTCGTCTCCATGGACACCGGGCTCACCCCGTCCCGCTCTTGCGCGCCGTTCTCACTCCCTTCACACCACACACACACACACACACACACACGCGATCGCACGTTCTGCTCGGTCGAACCCTTCTCTGCCGCCGCCGCCGCTCCCCTCTTCCGGTACCGCCAATCGCGCGGTACCGCCTCTCTTTCGACGACGACCCCGGGGAGACGATAATTATTTTTTTTCTATTATTTTACGTTTTCGTCGGAGCGCGCGTAAAATAAAATGAAAAAAATTACTATAAAACAAAACATGGCCGACCTCGAGCAATTTTTATGACCGGAAAAGGAATTTGATAAAAAATTAATTAAAAAAAATTGGCTTGAAATTTTACACGAGGAAGTTTTTTTTTTGTTGCTATTATCGTTTTTTATCCGACAGATTTCCTGTTTTTTTTTTTTTTACCTCATTTATCATTTTTTTTTTTTTAAATATCTCAAGTCTAATCTATCACCAGATATGTTGTTTGTGCTTAAGAAAAAAAAACCGCTCCTCGAAATTTGATAGAGAAGACTTTCTGTGAAAACTCTCTTGTTTTTTATGCGGTAAAATAATAATTACACACTCCACGAAAGGGGGCTCTTTTTTTTTTTTTTTAATAATTCACCAGATTTTCGACACAAAACGTGCCAAAAGCCGGATGACGGGTACAGCTGTCACAAAGGGGGTGGAAAACGAGGGTAGGGGAGGGTAATGGATTATGGGCTTTACCAGAGGGAGGGCCCCCTCCCGGTTTTATCCCTCTGAGTGTAATGTATATAGTATAAAATATGCGAGTATAATATAGCGCACAGAGAGAGTTGAATGAAACACACGGACCTTTACTCGTGCCTTTGGGATTGGTGGAAAATTATCGAAGAAACACGAATCCTTGGATCGGTGAAAAAGAACAAAAAAGGTGACCGTAAAAAATCTACATTTTTTTTTTTATTTTTTATTTTGTTGTTGTTTAAATTGAGCCCAGAAAATGTTTGGTATTTATTTTTTTTGTTGAAAATATGGTTTACGATGAGATATGTGTGCCGCCCACCAACTGTGTGTGTTTGTTTGTTGGAGTCGAAACAATGACAATATTTCCCCCAGTATTTGGTTCGGTACGAATAAATTATACAAATTTGAATGTGATATTTTGTATGTGGTTTTTTGTTTTTTTTGTTTTGTACAATACTGAGGCATTTACATTTAGTTCAAAACAAATAGTGTTGCCTTTTACGTGCGAGATAAAACTTAAACGTAACTCTTTTCGAGACCGGACGCTTTTGGCACGATAAAGAGAAGTAACCGGATTACATTACCGATTTAAAGTTCAAGCGAATACATTTTGGATAATAACGTTAACTGAGGTAACATCAAATATCGTCTTAGTTTCTTTTCTCGCCAAGAAATCAATATAATAATATTTGTCTTGGACCTTGAACTAGTACAGTTGTAGTGGGTTATCGACAAATGTTTCGTACACACTTAAGAGTTATTATTATTATTATTGAGTCATTAAAAAAAAATCTATTTCGATTTGTTATCGGTAAAGTGGGGTTTGAGTAGCTGCTGCAATTAGTAAGTAGTTCCATTTCTTATCGATATAGTTATTTTTAGAAAAAAATTTGTGACATTTTAAGGTTGTATTTTATTCAATTGGAAAATCTATTTGTCCGACATGTCGGTGGTAATATCGTGAAGAAACATTGGGTGAAAAATTGTTGACCATTTTGAAAATTATACTTGGGCTAAGACAAAAAATGGAGCGACACAACGTGTATGAACCGTGAAATCGGTAAAACAATGACATCCCTCCTCCGTATCCTCCATCTCGCTCCAACCGCACGAGTAATATGAATAAACACTGTAATTTCAGTAAAAAAAAAAAAAAAAAAGGATAATTATTCTAAAATATCTCGTTTACAAACTCGGTTCGAATACTAATTTAACGTGCTATTGAGAAACGGACGGACGACGCTGCGCTCTCAATGCGATTGGCCTAGTGTCCTATACGTAGTCTTGGAGTTTATTTGGTCATTGATCGGTATTGATCCGTAAGAAGATATGAATTTATATTTAAAATTATTCAATTTGATGATTGTGTGATAACTGATAAATAATTAAAAACGTTAAGAATGGTCAGAATTAATTAAAAGCTATAGGACATAGACTTGTCCTTTACCGCTAACCAAAATTGTATCGTCGTGAGTTTCTGTCCGTTGCAAAAGTGTAAACTTAAAAATAGGGATAATTTTAAATACATAACTTTTTGGGTTATAAATTTATCAATGGACGGCTGTAATAAATTTAGACAATGCTTAGAATAATTGTTTTTAAAAACTTCTATTAAATCAAAAATTTGGTATCCGAGTTTGGTATGGAATTGTATTTTATAGTTTGACTCGACTAAGTATTATACTCTTTAATTGTCCAATAAAATAGCTATGCATTTTTTTTTTTTATTGATAATAATATTCAAATGAAAAATTCATTTGTTGGCGGTTGAGTATAATTAAGCGGTTAAAATAAATAAAAACTACTATTGTATAATATTGTATTTTTAAAAATTATGTTTTACTATATTTTTTGGTTAAAATTAAATCAAACTTATACTGATAATTGTAATATGAATTAAAATTTCAACAAAAAGTTTGAGTAATGATTGTGGTTTTACCCCAGGTGTTTCCCGATGGGAGGTGCCGGCGGAGGAAGCGGTGGACGAAGAGGAGGTGGAGGGCACAGCAGTCCTTACTACCAAGGCGGTCCCGGTGGACCGCACGGTGGCGGTCATCCTCATCCGCAGCAGCCGCACGGTGGCGGCCCGCCACCTCACCACGGTCCGCCCCATCCGGGTGGACCACCTCACCCTGGCGGAGGACCTCATCAAGGAGGGCCCCCCGGCCATCACGGTCCGCCAGGTAGCGGCGGTCCGTTGCATCACGGCCCACCTTCCCACCACGGACCCCCTGGTGGGCCACACCACGGTCCTGTACCACCTCACCATCATCCTCATCCACCTCACCCGCACCCACACGCACAGCATTTACAACCAGACTACCGAATATTCGAGTTGAACAAGCGGTTACAAAACCGGAGTGATGTGAGTTTTATCATTGCAATAGTGAACACTCAAAATGATATACTTTGATGAATAAAATGTTAAACTTGTTTGTGTTCTTGTAGGAGAGCGACAACATATGGTGGGAACAATTTGCCACTGAATTTTTCGAAGACGACGCCACGCTTACTCTTACATTCTGTCTCGAAGACGGCCTTAAACGTTATTGTAAGGATGCAAAAAACAATGTTTGTTTTTATTTTTAATGTCGTTTAATTTGTCTTATTGTTTTTTTTTTAGCCATCGGCCGAACACTAATACCTAGGTACTTTAGAAGTATTTTCGAAGGAGGCGTAACGGATCTCTATTATCATTTGCGTTCCACCAAAGAATCGTTTCACACCACCAGCCTTACGTTAGATTGTGATCAGTGTACAATAGTCACTACGCATTTGCCAAACTCCAATCCGTCTGGTCAGCAAAACAACGGTGCCCACATCAAAGGGTCGGTGACGCCGTCACCGGGCGGCGGCCCCGGCGGTCCGGGCGCACCCCCTTCCGGCGGTCCGGGTGGGCCCGGCGGCAACAACGGAGGAATTTACACGCGTGTGTGCACCGAAGGAAGACTGACGTTGGAGTTCACTTACGATGATTTGATGCGCATCCGGACGTGGCACATGGCCGTGAGGCAACACAGAGAGCTCGTGCCCAGATCCGCTGCCGCCATGATATTGATGCAACAACAGCAGCAGCAACAGAACCAGCAGAACTCTCAGAATCCCAATCAAGAGCAAATCATGTTCGAACAGCAACAGCAACAAACGCAAATGTTATCGAAAAACATAACTCGTCAGGGAATAACCAATTCGACCCTCAACTATCTAAGGGTGAGTGTAAATGGGTTTTTTTCAAACTGTCCACACGTTTATATATGTGTGTTAATTTGTCCACAGCTCTGTGTCATTTTGGAACCCATGCAAGAACTAATGTCCAGGCACAAAGCTTACTCGCTGAGCCCGAGAGATTGTCTGAAGACGACGTTGTTTCAGAAATGGCAACGTATGGTCGCCCCGCCAGGTATTGGAATCGCTCTAAACAAACACAATTGTGTATTGCGTTAAATTTAAATAGAAATCTTGTTTCGATGATGCGTTCTAATCGTCGGCACGTTCCGTGTTAACAGAATCTCAGAGACCCGCAAACAAAAGGCGCAAACGCAAACAGTCCAGCGGAGGTGCCGGAACGGGCGGAGCTGGCGGCGGTCCTCCGTCGGGTCCGACGTCCAATAGCGGCGGAGGTGGTGGCGGCGGCGGCGGCAAGAAAAGGTCGCCGGGACCAAATTTTAATCTAGCATCACAAGTAAATAAAGCCGCCGAGCACTTGTTGTTGTCGTTGTCTGTGTTGTGATATTCTTAAAAAAAAATAATTTTTATCGCTTAGGACGTTATGGTGGTCGGAGAGCCATCGCTAATGGGCGGCGAGTTTGGCGACGAGGACGAACGTCTTATCACTAGGTAATGACGACATAATGTAAACTATAAGTAAAATTCTTAATCGATTAGTCGGTAGCACTGTGTGTGACTTCACTGCATGTAAGTGCATATTATTGACATACAAAATGTTTACAAATTACTTAACTAAAAAAAAAAAAAAGTTTTATTGTCGGTATTGCCTTAATGGTTTTTAGTAATATCAGCTATTGTAATAGTATTATCGTTGGTGACTAGTTTATGTTTAGACTAAAATTCGTCTACTCGTCTGGGTGTTGGTCGACTAATAAAATGTTCATCCCAATATCTCACCGCTACTCTTTACGCTGTTTATTAATGACATTAAAAATATACTACTTGAATATAAAATCATGGATTCAGTACTTCCTAGAGTAAACTCCATACTCCATACTCTACTGAATTTACTAATTTAAGGTCTTGTACACTACTATTCCCTAGTGAGATGCAACTTAGAGTACGCCATGGTAGTCTGGAACGCTGTCAATAAAAACCACATCTATTAGGGTATTTATTGATTATGGTTAAAATGTATTTTGTTATATCGCCATCTGTCGGAAAAATAACTAAACTATCCATTTTTATCAATAGAGTGCAGTAAACGCATAAAAATGGCATATATATTTTTATAATATAATTACCAGTCGATTAGCTGTTATTTTAATCTACTCACACTCTAGTCCAGAAGATTATTTGAATCATTTCAAATTGATTTATGATTTAATAAATGGGTACTATTATTTATGTCGAACATTTTACGGCACACACTCACCGATCAATAGGTCTATCTCCGTCTGTAATTCTATTAAATTTGATTTATTTTTTAATGATTTACAAACGACGTTAAAAATCCCCCACCCTTATTTTCTCGTAATTTTTTATTTGAATTTTCACCCATCTTTTGCACATGTACACCTATATAATTTTTACCGTTTGTTAATTTGTACCGACAAACATCGTAGAGGTTGAAAGCCGATTATCGGTCGGCTGCGGCGGCGCCAATCGCCAAGTACTAACACCTTGTGATTTGTTTTCCAGACTGGAGAACACGCAATATGACGCAGCGGCAGCTCTGGGCAGCGGACCCGGCATCGGGCCGGGAGGCCCCGGCGGACCGGGATCGGTCGGTCCCGTCGGCGGGCCGGTGGGCATGGTGGGCGACATGTCCGGACACATGGTGGGCGGACCGGGAGGGCCCGGCGGTCCGCATCACGATTCATCGGGAATCATCAACCCTTTCGGAGGCGGAGACCCGGGGCAACCTCCGTCAAACGGTCCCCCGGGCGGCGCCGGCAACGGCCCGAACAGTAACCAACAGCAGCAGAACTCTTGGGGAGGAGGCGGCGGCGGCGGACAGCAACAGAATCAAAACAACGGTCCCGGCAGCGTGGGGCCTCCCTCCAACAACCCGAATGCGGGTAATCAAAACTCGTCCGGCCCCAACAGCAACAACCCCAACAACGGCGGTGGAGGAGGAGGCGGAAACCAAGACTCGCTGTCGTCGGATAAAAAATCTCCGGGCAGCCTATTAAATTAAATCTAGACAATTCTAAATTACTTTTAAAATTAGGTATTTAATTTAAAAAAAAAAAAAAGCGAGAAGTAACGTTCGCAAAATGTTTTTTGACACATCACATACACATTTATAAAAAAAAAAAAAGTAATTCATTGTAAATAAGTGTTTTATTTAATTTTTTTTTTTTTTTTTTTTGTTTGTTTTCTACTATACAATAGTGAATAGGAAATATTTTTGACCGCGCATTAGGGATCGATTGATTATTATTAATTATTATTATTATTATTATTATTATTATTATTAGATAAGTTGTACATGAAAACAATTCTATAACTTCTTATAGCGTAACGTGCATTTAAATAAAATAAAAAATATAAAAAATTTGACTATTATTATATAGGTACGAGTAAGTTTTCTTGTAATCATTGTTTGTAAACGGTTATGACCAATCGATATGTTTTATTATTTATGTACTTTTTTTTTTTTTATTATTTTATTTTGTACAAGATTTTCAGACCGACGTCCGTTTAAAGAGAGTCGCGTCTCTTGTTCCCAACTATTGGCTATGTTATTCCGTGTTGTAAATAAACGAGTATATATTAAATAATTATTATATTATATACCATTTTTTCCTCATTTTTTTTTTTTGTGTACATAATATACATTGTCTCAATTAAAATACAATTTGACAAACCGAATAGTACTCGATTACCACACACACACACACCTTTATACGTCTTTCTACTTATATAAGTTCAGCCGACAAACAGTGTAGTATTTTTTTTTTTGGTAAAAATTCAACAACAAAAAAAAATTCTAAAATATTATTTGTCCGTTTATTGTACAAATACAACAATTAAAAATAATAATAATATGTCTAAAACATAAAACAACAAATTCGTTCCGGTGAGTTTCTAACGAAAAAAAAAAAAAAATAGTAATAAATGTTAAAAGTATTATTATTATTATTATTATTATTATTCAACAATGATGATGGTCATCAACAAACAACGAGGGCTTAAATAAAATGATATATATATATATATATATATATATATTATTTTATCAATAACTAAAAATCTATTCAAAATATATTAATATAAATAATGTTTACTCTATAATATGTATGTATATATATATTATAATCTCTATAGTCTAATCGAAAAATAATTGTATTTTATTTTTGCTTTATCTAAAAACATAATTAACAAACTCCCTGTCCGATTTAGTTGGAACCAGCAACGGCAGGCAGTGACTACTTTTAGAAATGGCGTCGACAGGACATAAGTCCGTTACGTCTCGGTGTGTGAAATGTGTGTTTTTGACGGCAACACTATCTAAGGTAAGCTTCCAGCATCTCGACAAACAGTTTGTTCATGCGTATGGCTCCCTCCTTGTGTACGGCCCCCCAATACTGACGGATCAGTTGGTCGGCTTGCCGTAGAGCGGGCAAACACAACAGTAACTCGTTTGTTCTCTGCTGCAGCCTTTGATGAGCGCAACCGACCGCGTTGTTCGAGTCGTCGTTTGGTGGCCTGTAAAAAAAAAAAAAACAATACAAAAACCGCAAACAGCAAAATCAATTTTATTAATTTATTTATTTTTTGTCCACCGTTCTCACCTGTTATTGCTATTGTTGTTGTTGTTGACGTTGTTGTAAGACAACAGGTCGGTGAGCGACTGGATTATGGCGTCGCGAAACTTTTTCAGCTTGCCCTGGTCGTCCACTCGGATGGCGTCCGAATTGCTCAACACCAGAGCTTTCAACAGATAGTATTCTTCTTTCTGCACCTTCAACTGTTGCAACTTTTCCACGATGTGCAAACACTAAACGGAATGGCCAAAATTCAGAAATTAATTATTACACACTCCGCGGTCAAATTAAATTAAAATGTTAATAAGGTAAATCCACGTTGTTGTTTATGTACCAAATTGTAAACGTCTCCAAGACCGATTTCTTTTGCTTGTTTCTCGTCCAACACGTAATCTGTGGCGTATTTCAGTTTTCTCTTCTGGCACTCTCCGTTGAGTATCGCGTTGTCGGTGATCATGCTGACCGAGTTCGAAATCGATCGGAACGCCGTTGTCAGCGTCAGTAGTTCTGCCCATGTCGATTGTAGCAATCGCATTTGATCGTTCAACGACAAATCAGTGAAACCTAAATGTGGCCACATACAATATGTATACATACAATAAAAGTGTTTTTCAAAAAAAAAAAATTTTTTTAAAAAGAGCACGGTATACACACACACACACACACACCTGGTATTTGTTTTGCCCAGCCTATGGTGCTGACCAGCTCCCTGTCGTAGAGATCGGACAGTATGTGCACCGGAGAATTAGACGCAGTCGTAGAGGCCACCGAAGGTGTGACGGACGACTGACACTGCTGCTGTTGACTGTTGTTCATGTTGGTAACGGTTGGTTTGAAACTGTTGTTGTTTTCTGTAGAATTCGTAGTGAGCATGTCGGGCTCACAAGCTTGAAGGGCTTCCAGCATTTTATTTTCTTTAAACAGAACACAACGGGTAGGACAGGTTAGGTTAGGTACAGGTTTTTTAAACTACAGGTCTAATGATGTTTGTAAACCTTCAAGAGAAGTGAGTCCGCCGCTCGAGCAACAACAGCAACAGTTCTTCAACGAGTCGTTAATGTTGCCCGTTGTCCACGTGACAGATCCGCCGTTTGAATTGTTCACCATGCCGTCTCTGGCGGACACATTCAAATGTCCGTGATGATGCGACTGTAACAAACACTGTTGCTGCTGCTGGGTCAGCTGCTGATTGGTGTTTTGGGACTGTTGCTGCTGCGACGATTGCCGTCGATATTTCTGACGTCCGCCACGGACTCGGTCCAAACGAACGCCTTCCTTGAGCATGCCCATACGCAAGCACTTTTGGAAGCGACACGCCTGGCACGCTTTACGGCGCCTCTTGTTGATTTCACAATCGTTTGAAGCCGGACACGTGTATTCAATGTTGCCTGAAAACCAACAATAATATATATAACATGTATTAATAATAAACATAATGTTATCTAAAAGTAAAAATAAACAATACTAGTGAATACAAAAAGTAGACGGTGTGTGTTTACCGATTGACAGTTTATCTATTTAATATGACCACAAACGTTGAAACATAACAAGATAACATATTAAAATATACTTTCTGTTTATCTTTTATTTTTAAACAAAACGCGGTTTGTTAAATGTATGCTTAGTATATTGAACATTTTTATTATTTAATATTATGAAATAAGCTTTATATAGTATAGTTTATTTATTATTTGTCACAACAAAAAATAACTCATAAGTCAATAAAAATGTATTTGTGGTCATACTACTTATTGAACATATCAAAATATCTTTCAAAACAGATTGTAAAATAATAGCAACTAAATATTTTAAAAGATACATTGTAAACAACACACTTAAGGTATCATCATACTTCCTCGACTAACCTTGAATAGTGCGTTTGAAAAATGCTTTGCAAGCTTCACACGACGCCACTCCATAGTGATAGCCAGAAGCCGTGTCGCCACAAACCAGACAAAGCCTTCGGTTTTGCGGAGATCCATTGGCCGAGCCGTTGCCCGAATCGTCCAGTTTGTCTTTCACGACTGGGCACCCGACGGTACCGTTGTTGTCCTGCGTAACAACATTAGTATATATTTTATTTAAATTCGAATATCAACAAGAAAGTCGAGCAAATTAATTTATTTTGATTTTAAAAAACTTAAAATAAAATATGTAAATTTTTATTAAAAAAAAAAAAAAAAAAAATACAAACGATGTTGTGCTGTAGATTTTGGTGCAGAGAATTGGATATAAAACAACGATGGTCTTGGTAATACATTGTACGACAGAAAATATGCCAGACGTAAAATGAAGATGGTAATGTGTGCAGGGAGATCGAAAGAGAAACAAAACTACTACCTACTGTTAACTTAGTAGATACACAAACACTGAAATGTTGTGTTTGCATTGTAAAAATAAAAATAAAATTATCTTGTTCCCGATTACGTAACGTTCAATATAGACACACAGATATTTACATGAAGAATGTTATTGGAAAAAATAGTAATGTATAATTTATCAAAAGTCCGAGACGAATAATAAACGTATATTATATATATATATATATACAATGTATACACGTATCGAATCGTGAGATGATTGTTTTCGTTACACTTATTGAAATGCGAAAAAAAATAATAGTGATTTGTTTCTATAAACACATCGTACGATCATAATTTTATATCGACAATATGTTTCGTTCGGTAATAGAAACGATTGTGTCTCCCACGACGAACGGATCACCTGTTCAATTCGATTCCGTCTACCGGAATCGGACATCACATTATTATACAAAGTAAAATTATTCATATTACGTTGCAAAATGGATTTGATGATTTACTGATGTTTATCTCTGCGTTTTACCTGAACTGATATTACAACACGGGCGCTCGACGAACCATTGTTTCCGGTATTGTTCGTAGTGCTCGAACAGCAGAATTGGTTTTGTTGAAACTGTTGCTGCTGCTCGTCGAGTAGGTCCACAGAGCCAAGCACCAGTTCCGCAGAACCAGGGCTCCGGGGCGACAAAGCCGTGGCCAGAATCAGTCCGTTGTTACTGCTGCTGGTGATGTCGAACTGTTGCGAGGTGACGGCACTGCTCGTGCTCATGGCCGGCTCCTTTTTGATACTGCTGGCTGCACATATGTACATCTGAGGCAGAGAATTACATAAAAGGTCGTTAAATACACGTTATCGGTGCTGACGAGTGTTTTGTTACGTACTTCCGAAGGAGAGGTGGGCGACAGAGAGCTACTGGACGCGGCCAAACGTTCTTTCTTGACAAATATCATGCTGTCGACCAGGTCCAGGTCCTCGGTGGCGCTGGCGTCTAGATCTAGATCTTCGGTGTCCACGTCTAAATCCAGATCCACGTCGGCCGACGTCGTTTCTGCAAATGTCACTACGGTTCTATCGTAGGCTTCGGCTTGGACGCTCTGGTGCCGGTGTCGATGCATGTGTACTGGTGCGGTGTGTGTGTGCGGGGCGGTCACGTCAACATTTATAATATCGGCTAGGCTTGGCAAGTAACGGAGCAATAGAGCAAATAGAGAAATTGACAAATAACTATTGTACCGGATGCGTCTTCATAGTAGTAGTTGGGCCAATTGATCGGTTCCACGTTCGCACACGGCTATCGACAAGAGTTTTACCATTATCGTAGAAATTACAGGTATTTTGTCCACAGTAGTTAATTTACTTAAGCATTTGATTGAAAGTAAACAGTGTATTGTAACATAACGTTATTCTCGAGCAGAGAAGAAAAAAATAAAAAAATAAAACGAGACGAGAACACAACAATATTGTAACATTAAAATATTAGGTAGGTATATAATAATAAATAATTATCGTATATTAATTGGAGAAGAGAAAAAAAACGCCAGTGGTCACGCGCTCGGCTCGACGGTGTCCGTTTCGGAGTGATTGATAATAATATTAACACTATGTAAAAACTGTAATAATATTATAATATAAAATATACATAATAGTATAATAATATACTATGTACATTTTTATTATCCAATCCAAGTCCGAATTACTACATTATCACTTAGACACACACACACACACACACATTCACATCACACGGCACACACGGTTTTAGTTAAGTTGTATAAATTGTAGGCTGTAGCGGCGGCGGCGGCGGCGGCGGCGGCCGGATGGTATGTTAAGAACCCCTTGGCGCTATCTGCCGGCTTGCTGCGGTCCCTGGGAAGCTTTGAATGTTAATATAATATTATACTGACGACGATACCTACTGAAAAATGATTTGTTTAAATTTACTGTTTTTAATGTATATTTTTGACGAAAAATAAAATAAAATAAAAAAATAAAATTGTCTTCTCGTTTTAGCCGCGTGGAAAACGGTACGTCTCGTTGCGGATAACTCGGCAATAAAAAAAAAAAAAAAAAAGTGTTTTGGCAGGAAAAAAAAAAAAAGTAAATAATAAAAAAAAAAATAAAGGTAGGTAGGTATGTATAACGCGGCGGCGGGCCGGTATTACGGGCCGCCGCCGCCGCCGCCGCCGCTCGGTGCAGCTGACGCGCGGATTGCGTCGAGGCCGCCGAGGCCGAGGCCTTGAAAAACCGCCGGTCGCTCGCCCCGCCCCTCTCCACCCCTCCTCGCCACTCAGCCGCCGCCGCGGCCGCCCGACCCGGCCACGGCCGATGTGCTCAAAGTCCTCCCCGTGTCCCGCCGCCGTTCAATGGAAAAAAATAATAAAAATTAATAATATTATGTACTGCGCGGCGGCGGCGGGGCGGCGATTCGTAAAACCGTGCTCGGTGCTCATACTGTGCTGGAGCGCGTAGGTATACCGCTGCGCCGCCGGGTTCATACTGTGCTCGCGCTAGGTTCATACTGTGCTCGCGCTCGGTTGATTCATACCGCGCCGGTTTAGGCTCTACTTGGTTTTTTTTTAAAAATAATCATAATCATAATATAATATTGTAATAATAATGAGAAAGAAAGAAAGAAACTAAAATCCCACCCCTTCTAGGAGAAGAAAGGGTGCAAGTCACAAATTGGACAATTTTGAAAAAAGATAACGAGCTTAAGTAATTTTAAATTTTAAAAAAAATGTAGGTAAATTTGTCGGGTGTTTTTCTCGATTTTGAAGGGGAAGGGATGGACTTTTTACATTTTTCAGTCTTTTAAAGTACCTTAGAGGTACGATTTCTGATCTTGGGAGCTGCTACACGAATAAATCGGTTCGGTGGCTTAAAAGATATTGAGGGTACAGAGATAAAAATAAAAAAAAACACATTATTGTAAATACAATACCTTCTCAGCATCGAGCTAAAAAAAAAAAACAAAAAATTGCCATAAGTACTTGAGTAGTTAGGTGAGGGGCGTATACGAGGGGTGGCGATGGGGATGGCGCCACCCCCTGGATATTTACTTATACTATTATGTAGTTAAACTACATGTAAAACTACAATAGTTTATAAAATAAAATTTAAAACTATATTATTTAAAATATTTGGATGTTTTTATTTTAAACGTCATGGGCGCAATTTCAGTACAAAAATTGAAAGTTTAAGCTCTGCATTTTCCAGGTACCTATTTAAATTTAAATTAATGAGGTTAATGGTTTTTCAGGCGAGTTAGGTCAGGTCTATCTTGTTCTATGAATGTGTCTATAACTTTGTTTATGTTAATATTAGATTTTTCATATATTTTTCTCCATATACAGGTATACTATTGGCAAATCTGCAACCACTGAAACCCTAATCTAAGAGTTTATTTTTCTTAAAGCAGAAAACGAACGTTCATTATCTAGTTGTAGAACTTGTGGGAAGTGTGAGAGTCACTTGAAATTGATAAAGGTAAAAAGGTATTAGTTCGGTAATTAATTAGTAGTTTATTTATTTTGCAAACATATTATGAACTATTTGTTTATGTTGGCGGATAAACGTCTCTCAGTTCTGATACACAAAGCTGGACAGTAACTATTAACTAGTTAGAAAATTACAAGTACAATATATCAATACATTTCTAACTTAATAAAACTGCTAAATAACTGTTTTTTATTTTTTATTCGAAAAACATACTTAAGGTAATTTTGTAGGTACTATACCATTTTAAATCTTCGAAAATTAAATCGTTGACCTTAAAAAATGATTATTATTTATTTGTGCGCTTAGACGAAACTTTGTGTGCATAACAAAACATTAAAACATATGTTTTAATTTATGCGCCAAAACATTTTGCAATTATTTTTTTTTTTTAAATATAAATCAATGCAGCTTGTTAAAACGTTGAGGTTAGATTATATTAGATACTAATACACCTATGACCTATATAATATAGTGAAATACATTATACATTCTTAACAGAAACTATTAAAAAAAAAATGTTATTCATATTATTTTAAAATGAGCGTTTATGTACATTTTAATATTCCAGTTAATTATTTCAGTTTTTTCTTCATTCGATCACAGTCCACTGTTGTCCTTCGGTGAAAATAAGATAAACAAGACTCAACAAAAATAATATTATATTATATATTTTTTTTTAACACAATATTTCTATGTGTAACATTAGCTGTTGTATTTGCATAGAAGTGTAATAATAAAAACAAATATGTAACAGCTAGTGCAGAAAAAATATACTTGAAACAATCAAATCTTTGTCATATTATTATGCGTTAATGAGTTAAAAACCCGAAATATGCAAAAATATGCGGTAAAAAAAATAATATAAATTATAAATCTAGTTACAATGAACAACATTTGTATCCTGCGATAGATTTAATCTGTCAAATACTCCAAATAAATAGGTACCTATGCAAATAAGCACGTTAATTAGTAGGAATTTTTAGCTGGACGATTTCCACAAGCAACAATATAATAATTGCTAATAATTATGTAGCTAGATTATATAACATTGTTGTTGCGGTAAAAAAAAAATGTGTAAATAAATATTAAATGAAAATGTTTTTGTAGAATTTTCAAAATAAAATCGAGTAAATTTTTTTAAAAATAAATTTTAACTACCTATGCCTAAATTCAAACTAGCTATTGAAAAAAGTGACTTTTCCAAGGACTATTGATTAAAATATGTATATACTATATTATAATGTATACTACACTTTAAGCTAGTATGCCCAAAATTGTGTTTAAGCGAATGTCAACTACAGGTTGTCGTTTTAAAATATGTTTTCAATAAATTATGTCTGTGATAAGTACAGACATCAATCAGTGATTGGGAATTCGAAAATCCTGATTTTCACAAAACATTAGCTATTTGAGCCACTCGAAAATCTTACAAGTTTAAAAATATTTGTACGATTTAAAGCTGTGTATCTAAGAAAAAATATTTTCGATGAGAATGTAAAAATATAAAACAAGCACAATAAATGATAAATTGCTTTTGGATTTCGGATTTTTAAATGGCTTAAATGGCGTTTTTTTTTTAAATCCGGATTTTCTGTAGTACTTATAACTTACCTATGTAATATTAAGGCCTAACTTTAGTCTAATTTTCGCGTTATAAATCCTAAATTGCTTCTGAAAAAAAAAAAAAATCAAAGGAAATCACTCAGATAAGATTTAATCAGAGAAGACACTTAATGTAAACAAGGATTTTGGCCGCCATTTTGTCATTATTATACCGATTGATAAACGATAAGATGGCCGCCACGTTTTTTTAGTGATAAGCATATCAATCGCGTTAAATTTTTGAAAATCTCCTCTCGTGGGTTTAATTCGACTAATAAAAATGTTGTTCCATTAAACATTTCTACTCCAGCTAAAAAGTAAAGCATTTAAATTTTTTTTAATTTTAGCGTGAATGGGTTTGTTAATTTTGTGCGCGAAGGTGTTGATCTTTTCAGGTGGACTAGTAGGTATGAAACGCATCGGTTCGGCATCGAAGTTCAATAAAACAATACAATATGCCAAACCGAATAATGATTTCATCATAAATCTATTAGCTATTAGTCTCTATTATTGTACAGGTAAGTCGTTTGCTCCGTGTATGCCTATTATTATTGGTCTGGTTATATAACCGCAAACGCTGATTTCTTTTTAGCGTCTATAAATAATAATAATATTAAAACTGCGATTACGACTATGTTGATGGTGATAACATCGAGTTCAATTCGTTTTTTATTAAGTAAACCCATTTAGTATTATTATTATTTTTATTATTGTATTTTAAATTGGTAGCCGGCCTTGATGGGACAACGCTATCATCATCATCAACGTCGGTCTGCAGCAATAATAAAGTGTACGATTCATAACTACTATAATGTTTAATGCTATTATACATACACATACATTATATAACTATATATATATATTAATAAATATTATTATTTTTTATTATGCATATAGGTAGGCAATACGTGCACACTTGCGCAGCACATACAGAGTTACCCAAATGTCATTTAACACACAAGATCCGTTTTGCAAAATAAATAAAATCATCTCTTATTTTGGATAAAACCGAACGATAATACTATCATAGTGTAGAGTACCTAAATTTAATATGTTTTAATGTTAATTTAATCTATTCTGTGATAAAAAAAATATAGCTGTTAACACACACAAGTTACTTATTAAGTTGGCCATCCACTTGAGGGGGGAGGGGGCTAAAAAAAAGAAGTAAGGAGGAACTGAAAAAGGGATGAACAAACTTGAAAAACAAAGATCGATAGGTAACACTTTAAGGAATTGATGTTTTTTTTCTTACCATTAACGTTTTCAAAACGTCTTCAAAAAAGTTTTTCGAAAATAATATTTTGAAACCATAATTGGAAGATAAAAATAAATATTTGAGTATTGTAAAAGTTGTTTGAGCATTGATAACATATTACCAATGTTTTAACTTGTAATAAACGACATTTCTTTTAACAATTATTTTTTCTTCTGTCAAAACATGATTTAAAACTTTAAGACTATTAAGACTTTTTTAAACTTTTTGAAAACATTAATACATTTTTTTGCCAAATGGGTTATTGTAAATTTAAAATAGATTGTTGAAACAAACAATTTTTTTCTAAAATCGAGACCTTTTTCTTCACATTATCCGTTGACAATATTACAAATTAGCTGGTTTTGTGTAACCTAACCTAACCAACCAACCTAACCCAACCTAACCTTACACAACCTAACACTTATTTTTTAAATTTAATAATATTAATAAAAAATAACAAATGTTGTAGCTGAAATTGCATAGGTACGCTCGCCAATAGTATTATTACCTAACGCTAATAATAGACATTTAAACGGGGAAAAAATGAATATTTTGAATTTTATACCGAAAATTCAAAACATATAAATTTGATTTATCGTTTGGCTGAATTTTAACTTACTTTTTAACTCTGCAAAATCGGT